GAGTTGGGCAGCCTCTGGGCTGGACCGTGTGTCCGAGCTCCGCGTCCGTTTAATTACACATCATCATTCTCACATATATACAGTGATTGAGCGGAAGCATTGTCTGCAAATTTGTCGGGTGGCGGTTTGTTTGTCGGGACGGCCTGTAATACCGATTGGGGCTTTACGTCTCACCGGCTGCTGTGGCTATTTCGAGGCGGAACGCCTCTATTACGCATTCGTCAGGCATTAGGCACGTGGGATGCGGTAGTGGTGTGGCCAGGACTCCATCCCAGGACTGAAAAGTCCAGAGATGAGCACCCTAACCACTAACCACCATGCCGCCATCGCCCCTCTGCGGCGCGAACTGCACCCGTCTCGATAAACTCAAGACTGGTGTTGCTGGGTCCCAAATTATATTACTTAGCAGGTTTTGAAGCGTGAAAGGAAGAAAGCGTGTCAAGGTTGATGAAGTGGATGACGAGTACAAGCTCACGATTCTCCCAATTCATTCAGCTTATCTATCGCGAACGGGCTCAGTCACATACACTGCTCCGCTGTTCAGATGATGAATCAACAGCGCCTTTAAGCGCGGCACGTGCGTAGTGTTTTGCGCGACGTTTGGCAGGCAGTTGAATACATTCGCAGTCAACGTTTGCTTTTTTACTTTCTATGTACTTGCGACCAGGAGTGCGGTTCCCTATTCAGTTGCAGGAGTTTCACCCCCCGCCGTAACTTGGGTTGCAGTCTGCAGATTTGTGAGAAAGTGAGCCAAATTCGGAGAGAAACCAATTCGTTGGCAAATTATCAGGGTACTCTTCGTTGTGCTTTCATCGCTCAGCCAACCAACTTACGTCCGTTTAAAACGTACTTAATCGAAGGAACGAGTAGGCTGGGCTATTGAGCGTGTCTCACCAGGGAGTATCTGGATTCAGCTGATGAGACAGTCTCCATCCCCTCTCTTTGAGAGTGATGGCATGTATAAACCAGAATAAGTCCCGTTTGCAGGAGCGTGTGAAAGAAACCACTAATATTATAGGTAAACGTGCCAGGAACTGGATATCTATATGCGCGCCTGCCTGGAACAGACATAAATCAGTCAGCCTTACACATCAGCCATCAATTCCTTCAACAAATGAGAAACATACCGTACATAACGGCACCAAAAACCGTGGAGAATCTTATCCATAGTCCACAATACTAAACAGCGGGCAACCCGAAAAGTGCTTTCCACGATTACCGTGCAGCTTCCGCCGAATAACTAGCTATTTTCGATGCCACGAGCCGGGGATCGAAGTTTTGAATTATTTAATGCGCCTGCTGCCAAGGGCGTGCTGACGCGGCGAAGTCTGCATGCTCAAACAAAACGTTGCCCATATCCATGCACTGTGGTTTAACTGGGCAGCACTGTACCGCGTGACGTCACTCGTCGGCCGAGGCGGGCGAAATCGCCTCCAGTAGCCCTCTATCGAGCAAAATCCGGGCCATTAGGTGAGGGGTTGCGAGGAAGTGGGACAGTGTTCCAAACCGTGGATCTCACGCACGCTGAGCTTTGTGAACACTGGACTTTATGAACACTGGACTTAATGAGCACTGGACTTAATGAACACTGGACTTAATGATTCTCCTCTGTCCAGAGCTTTTGAGCATTTTCTGGATCTTATGCACGCTGGGTGTTGCGATTCTGGACTTTTTGACCACTGGACTTTATGAACTCTGGAGATTTCAGTACGTATCCCCTAGAACCCTGTCCTAAGCGAAATTTTACTGGGGTTCATTTCAGGCCACATCGGTCGAAAAACGATTTATGTGAGAAATTTTAGGTCCGTGACCTCCTCTGACTTGCAAGAAGTCAGGATAAGGTGCCTGTTGACGTCCCTGCATTCAATAAATTCAAAAAAGGCATACAAACTGCATCTTAAAGTACGCGTGTCAGTGAAAAGTGGTTTGGTTTTGCTCCCGGTCCGATCTTCATACTGAACCAAGTTCAGTGAAATTAATCGTAATCCCAACCTCGATTGGGTAATTGTCCAAGACGGCGTCTAAAAGATGCATAGCTTCGTTTACAAGGAATGTGTAAAGGGACCCAGGAGCATGTTCCAAAAACATGCCGCATTGAAATCCTAGGATCAGTTACGTCCAACAGTGGCACCAGGTAGTGCCACTGCATCACCGTGAAGCCATATTTAAGATAGCAATTTCAATTATTTACGAGTCCAAATTGTACTCTCAACGCTTCGTAGCAGCATAACGCTTCTTCTACGCAGTCGCCTCTACCGTCGTCATGACAACCACCGTGTGCAACTTTGTTGGTGCAAATAAAAGAGCGTTTGTGATTGGCGCAGCAAGGGCCGGTTACCGAAAAACGCATTGGCTGAAGTTTGAACCAGTGCGTCACATGGGTCATGTGATGCTCTCATTCCGCAAGCCAAAGTGCGCCTCGAAAAAGCGTCACGGTAGTAAACGCCATATTAAGCAAGTGAAGCCACAGCACAGCGTTCCGTTGAACTCACGAAATAAAAGCTTTGTGCTCGCATATCCTTTTGTTCAAATAGCGTTTCAAGCTTTCGTAACATTTGTTACCCGAACATTTTGACACACTGGTGTGTTGCAAATACTTCAGAACACACACGTTCGGACAGCAAGGTAACTTAAATTTACTTATTTCATAGAGGTGAGCACGGAGTCAAATTTCTTCCGCACGGTTGCCCGCTCAGAATCAAAATTCTGAGCTGTCTAGGATTTGGAGGAAATTTGCATTACTGCCTCAATCGCACGCGTCTGATGTAACAATGAGTGAAAAGAAATAAGGTGGGATACTTCCTCTTGCATCGCGTTGTCGCATTAGCTTGAACGATTCCTCTGGAATTGTCTTTGTCGATCGTCATGGCTTGACTTTGACCTGCCATAGGTCAGCGACATAACTATGTGGTCTAACTTTCCATACGTTAAGATCCATCATTTGTGTATAGCTATACAAAGTTCGGCGTAGCCGCACCAAATCTGTATTCGATGATGAAAAGAATTCTCGGTCGGGCTGCCTCACACGCAGCAGTGACCTGCCGCACACGACGCCGACAGGGAGAGGCCCACCCCACGCGCCCGAGCAGCACCTCTTATATTCCTTCCAAGGCTCATACCCGCAACACGATCTGCGTGCGACTGGCCGGCGCCACCGTGACGCACCGCCCCGAGCCGTGATTGTTCTCACTCAGACATGAGTCATCGCCCCACTCGCCTTACATGCTGACACACTGTTCCGGGGCATGGTCCACCGCTACAAAATCTTTGTCTTAAATATAGCCGGATATCTATCTCTCGATAGAAACGCGCTATTGCCGTACATAGCTGTGCATTTACCAACGCTAGAACGGCCACGCCGCACCGATCAAAGGCTATTTTGGAAAACCTTGGCGAGGGAGAGGGGCCAAATTTACCTCCGACCTGAGCGGCTGTTAATGATTATTAGGCACTTGGAAGTCCTATTAAAAGCACACACATTTTCTACTCGCAAATTACAGTAAACTCATCCTCATCGCTGTTTTTCCGGCGCATTGTTGGGGACCTAGCGAAGGCAGTTTGCTTTTGGCCTGAATCCCACAACAGCATTGGTAAATGCCACTCTCAATGTCATGGCAAAAAGTTGAGTTGGCAATTGTGGAAGAGCGCCAAATTGAACCCAAACGCTTTTGCGCACCACTCGCATGACACCGAAAATCTTACATTTAAATGAAGGAACACTATTTTTCAGGTGGATGGAGGTGAGCACTGACCTAATTCAAGGACGCAAAGGACATTGGAGTAGGGTGTGTGATTTGGTTGGCTGGCCGGGCCCTCGGTACCTAGATCCGGCAGTGTAGCCGGATGTTTGCCTCTCTACAGAGACTATGTTTCTCGCATATAGCAAGGCACCTGCCAACACTAGAACCCTTCCTCCCCTTGTAACGAAAAGTCGTGGTTACTCTCACCACCAAATACAAGTCGTAGCAGTTGAGCAGCCAGCCGAAGCAATAATCCTCACACACCTCACACACCTCACAAGTGACCAACAACGTGATATATTGTCATGTGACAGTTAGGCTAGAATGACAGGCCGAGCCAGACAGGCCAATTGGGCCGAGAATATGCCTCGATGACCAAATAAATTAAAGGGCGGCATTTGCAAGCAAGGTATTAAGATATTTCAAACCCAGCAAGCACAGCTCGCGTTCCAAACACGCAGAACGCCACGAGAACTAAGATGTAAGTATCTCGGAAAGCTGGATGAGTGTCATAAGGCCACGAACAACACCAGCACCTTCTACAAACCTAGTGTTGGTACCAGTGGAGCTATTTAAGTTGCGTTGCAACGCCTATGGAAAATGACTATCAATTTAAAGCTAAGACACTGGGCTTCAAAAACACACCTGACGTAGCGAGAGAAACGAGAGAACACGCGTTTTGCCTGATGCTGAAATCGTTTCAGCCGTCTGTACCTTCTCAATCTGCCCAAATGCTGCCTTCGAAAAAGACCTTTCCAGTGGGCTTACAATGCCGTGGCTTGTCCAGGCACCCCGTGGTGACGTCACGGCGGGATTGCCGGAACCTTGAGGGACTCGTCTCAACCAACCTTTTGCTTTTAACAGCGTATCCCTGACGTTGATACAAATTCAAAAACCAATAAACACGTGGGATTAGGTCACCTTAAACTTCTGAAGATCAGGTGGGGTCAGTTATCTAAAATGAGCACCAGTGATCTTTCGCTTAGTGGAAGCTGCATTAGGAGGTCCACTGGAACTTCGCACACCAACATAACGTTTCGCCTCGTTTAAGCCTGCTTGACTCAAATATCATGACTTAGGGGTCTACAAATTTGACATTAGAGATAACATGCCTATATATTCTGTGAATTTGGTGTCTCCGGCCAACTTATTCTCTAGATATCAGGGGGTCAATTTTTTCACTCCCCCCCCCCCCCCCCCTCTCCACCCGGACGGCGTCGTGTTCAACCGACCATCCGGGCGCGCGCTAAAAAAAAAAACATCGCCAGCCGAGAAGAGCTGTATTTCACGCTGCCGATGCGAAATGCGTATGACGTACACACCGGCCAAGGTTACATTCTCCCTCTACCTACACTATCCATCCAGTCACAAGTATGCATTGCCTACTGACAATTTTCATCGCTATGACCAGGTCCTGCTACGTTCATGGTTTACGGGAGTTTAACTTCTTCGAAGTCTGAATATTTTGCTATAAACGTAATGCAGTTCAGCGCACAACCCTTTCTGTGTGCTACACAGCTGTGTGGAGCCAGGCGTTACAGCAAATAAAACGATTCGCTATTTCGACGCAGAACATAACTTTCAAACCATGTTGAGAGCTGTTCATTTGACACCATTGAACACGGTGTAATGCAACAGTCCCGTAAAACACAAACTCAGGAGAGTGAGCGAGGTGGCTGCGGATTTCACTGCCAGATTGGCACCAAGGAGCTCCAGACCATTAGATACTGTAGTCGATCAGCCAGAGCTGCCACCTAAACCGATCGCGTAAACGGGCCACTGATCTGGCCAGCAAAAGGGAACACACACGCGCAAGTGACTAAGACACACATGCACACTAGTTTCTCGAAGATGACAAATGCATTTACCTGTCTATATTGCCATGACAACTTCTAATGCAATCCGCTTTACCGCTATCCAGATAATTTTAAACAATGTTGTGCTCAGTTCGGTGGTGATTCACTGGTTTACTGGTCGCATTCACCAATCACATCATGGTAATCATTGAATGACATGGGCCAGAACCATAGAGTTCGAGTGAGTTCCAGAATCTGGCATCCTTGCTAGAACGCGAACAAATGCACACCCTGTCCATAAGCACTCAATCCCGGTATCACGTTTCGACCATTGCATCATATGCTCCCAAACTGTTCACCACGGTCTCGTCAGGAGATTGTGGTCCTAGAGTACGGCATCGTGTGATTCAGGCCTTCCAGGGCGGAAGAAGCCAGCAAGAGTCCTAGCGCACCGCATCAACCCTGCACAAGCGTCGCCATCACGTGCGAGCGGCGCTTCCTCTTCGAGCTTTTCTGGCTGCTTAAGGTCTCCTTCCAAACAGCTTAAAAACAGGAGAAATCACAAGATATTAGGCCACCACTGCATTTCAAATGGTAGACGGATGCACATGTAGAATCACATGACTGATTGTTTCAGTCGCGCCGTAATAATGCTATGGCTACAGTGCCGATGCATACCAGACGAGGACTTGCTGCGCGAGACGGGGCTGTGCTGTAAGCTAACGGAGCGCTTTCCGGATGCCGGAAATAAAGATACATAGGCTAAAAATGCGTAAAACCCTACAAAACCCCTTGATTAGTCATTTTGACAGATTCACTCCGTTACACACGTGATTTCGAACGTCGACAAGGACACCAGACGTTAGATGTCATTTTCACACGTCGATGGGACTTGCTTCTTCCGAAAGATTTTCTTCATCCCTGTGGAGGGGGAAAAAGTCAACAGGTGTTTCCACAGGTCTCACATAAAGCTATGCAACCATTCACACAAGTACGTGACCCGCTGTTTCTATTTTAATGGCTATATTGCTTCTCAGATAAAGCGTTGATAATGTTCGCAGGTCTAGCAAGTTGTCCTTAATAGCTGGGCCAAAGCCGTCCCATTTAAATATGAAGTGTTAACAAGATGCCACACAATTTACAACTTACTAGCATACTAGTTGTGGGTTAATATCACCAAGAACCGGAAAATTCAACAGAACACAAAATTGGGCGGGACATGCAAGGAATAACTCAAAACTTTTACACAGAGCGCTAAATTTTACCCTGTGACCTTATCTTTCATGGAAACGGACGACATTCATGGCTCGTTTTCAGTTCACTATAGCGTCACTTGTATTGCAGCTACATCAAAGATCTGACTAGTTTATTTGTGAACACCTAAATAGGTAAAACTCCCGGCGCACATGATACGTATTAACGTACAAGATAATTGTAGTCCCTCCTCGCCCCACTCTACGTCCGCTCATGATTCAACTAAACGCAACAGCTTGACACAGCGTGAGATTTTGAGTTCAACGAATAACAAAGAGAACGCAGCATTACTCAACAGGCCTCTTTGCAACGCTTCGTCCCTCGGTCCACACCTGACTCCCTCGGCCCGGCCCAGCGTACTCCACTCCGCTGGTGACCGATGCGCTGGCTGCTGCCCATTGGCTTAAAGTGACAAGTGCCCCCCTGCAGCACGCTGCGCCGCCAAGCACACAACGCCCCCCCCCCCCCTCCCTCCCCACACCCCGGCCGCGTGTCAAGCAACACGGTACGGCCTCTCGACTCTGTGCAATCTCAGACACCACAATATCGCGAACAAAACATGAAAAACACACAACATAATTTCAGCAAACATGATGCACAAGCAATCGTCCCATCTTTTAGTTCCATTTGTAAACTTTTAAGAGACACGTGATATCTGATGCCTGATAGATACCTCAACTAGCACAATTTATTACAGGGACAACGCCTTCAAATGTATTGAAAGTATATCATTTGGGTGTTCACGAAAATAGCAACGCCGTATTTGGCTCTCCACTGTTGTGTGACGCAAAGGTCTACTGTGAGAAGAAAGGGGGTGTGTTCCGGGCATGCCAACAGCAGAAGAACAATTTACAGCAAAAAGCGTTTTCTAACACTCGGAGGAATCATGTCGTAGGTGAAGACAGGTTTTGCAAGGAAACTTGCCCTCGGCTCCGAGTGCGGTCAGGGAAGGGTGAGAAATGAAACCGGTTTAGAAAAGTGAAAGTACAGACTCAAACCATGACGGCTGTTTTTGTTGAGTTGCCCTCGTCTTCAGCTATCGTGCGCGGTCTAGTGATAGCTGTCCAGCCTTTATGGTTAACATGGTCCGCACATCTACTAAAAACTAGCTAAAAAGGGCGATGAAGAATCGCAACATATGGCAATATGGTAATACTCCACCTGTGCAGTAAACATAAAATCATTTTAATTTTGCAAAATTTGGGTGAAACATGTGCGTTTACTTGACCTATGACGGGGATGTGACCTAGGCAGTTGTTGTGCCGGTTACGGACGAGAACACAGTTTTTACAGCGGAAAGGAAAATATTTGCTGTGAATGGAAGCCCCCTGAATATCGCGGCATATTCCGGTAGAGCGTACGTACGTGTCGGAGCGGCGGCGGCGGGCGGGCGCGGTCAGGTCAGCCAGCACCTCGGGCAGCGGTCGGCCGGCCGTCTCCGGCAGCAGGAGCACGCTCAGGCCGGACAAGATGGCCGACCCGCCGAACAGCAGTACGGGCACGGCTGGGTGGATGGCGTCCTTCTGCAACCGGCCGTGGCCGCTGGTTATGGTCGATAACTGACATTATGGTCCAGAGCTGCTCTTCGTTCAGGCACGTTATGTCTGGACTATTTTTGGCTGAGCTCCCAAACCAAGCATTAAATTGGCAGAAATCAATAGGGTTGAGCGATGCAAACGGCGTCTGCAACTGAAATGCGTCTGACGTGTGAAGCCAGTCGTGACTTATTTCATAAATGACATCAACGGATTGACCGGCTGTTTAACTGCCGGGCTAATAACGCATGTACCAGATGTGGCTCTCCTAGCAACGCCCAATCGGAAAGGAACAACAAACAATTCACCTCCACTATCGTACTCAACAATGTGCTTCGGACAGCGAGACGGCATTGGACTGCCACGCGAACCCCGTATGGTGCGCTGGTACATGACCGGAGGTACACGAGTACACGCCAGAGGAGCGAGCGGCGCGCGCCCGGAGCGGCGCCCGTACCAGCAGCGCCAGGAAGGGCGCCAGCACGCCGCCCACTCGGGAGCCGACCGAGCAGCTGGCCAGGCAGGTGTTGCGCACCGACGTCGGGAACACCTCGGCCGTAAAGATGTAGATGGTGGAGAAGGAGGCCGTGATGCAGAACCGGCCCATCATGGCCAGACAGACGATCGGCCAGTCGTGCGAGTACTCACCTGCGGGGCGGGGCGGGCGACCTCGGCTCAGTTGAACCCTGGCTCAACTGATCCCCACAGACGCTGTGTTTTTGCGCGGCTTGCGCTCGGCGGCGTGCGCGGTGATACGTGGCAGGCTGGGCCAGTTCTGGTGTTTGGGAGGTCTGACACTTTGTTGGGACGCGCGTTACGTGCTTACGATCACATGACTCGCAGATAGTACGAGCTTGTGAAAATGAATGCAGGGAACATGCCCAGGTGTGCTTGGGGGACCTTTTATCGCAGCCATCAATCCAAACATCCACACAGCATGTCATATTGGACCCACGCATAGCTGATGCCTCTTAATGTACCCTCGACCGTAGACCATAAACACCCTGCTGGGCCCTACACTTGCGTTGTGTGCAGTTCCGGTCAGCAAGCGAACGCGCCGTGAACTGGGTGTTGTGCTGACGAGCTGACAACAGTGCCGACCACCGAGCGCCCCACTGGCCAAGTAAGAGTCCCCGACTATCTGGGGAACAACAGCCCGCCGGACGCCCGGCCGGCGCGGCGGACATTCAGCTGACCTTTCTGATAGGCGAGCGTGAGCAGACAGGCAACGCCGGCGCCCACCATGTTTATGCTTATCGGAGCGCGTCGTCCCAGCCGGTAGATGGCGTAGGCGCAGGTGACGAGGGCGGGAATCTCGACCACGCCTGGCGGTGAAGGGCAACGGTAAGGTGCTCGCAGGCCGCGCTTTCCTGGAGGAATCTTGCGCGAAGTGCTTCCGTTAAGCTGCACCGACGTGGAAAATGTGTCAGTGCGGAGAGCTGTGAGCCCAGAGAAAAAATCCCACTGATGGAACATGAATTGGCACGTAGATTGCAGGTATAAGGGTAGGCAGTAAGCACCTCTGATAGTGAACAGAACTGACTTGATGTGGTTCGGAAACATATTTCGAGAAGCTCAGGCGGCTATGTCAGCATGACGATGATAGTGGGCAACGCACCGTGGCCAGTTCCTCCAGCTGCCCCGGATTTTCCGCCCACCTCCGAGACTGGCGTTTAAGTAGATGTTTCCACCAAAGTCGCCGGCGTTGAGAGTAATGCCGTAGAAAACCATACTGTTCACCAGCCAGCAGAAGAAGAGGCAGAGGAACAGCGCCGCGGTCTTGGGACTGCGCAGCACGTTCAGGAAGCCCTCCTCAACGGGTGGTTTCTCGTCACTGGACGACTGAAATCAGTTGGTCCTGAGCATGGTGTGCACAATCTCGATACTCCCCCAGCACAGCAACTGCTAAGATGACTCAGAGATTTACGAGAGCACGTCTTCAGAATGCAAAGGTCATGCTCATTGCGTGGCTCATAGTTCAGTACGACGAAGTCACAACAGCGTAGAAAGGCAAGCTCATTTTATTGGATAAGTCAGGTAAACAAATATGAAAACCCTTTTGAGAGACGAATCGCAAACCTCTGCTTCTGGGAATTTCTCCAGCGGCGCTCTGCCGTTGTATTTACATATGCTTTCCAATATGTTTCTAGCCTCTGAAACCCTGCCCTTTGAGAGCAGCCACCGCGGGGACTCGGGCACAAGCCTAGGGAAGCAGAAACACCGCCATTAACAACGCAACTTCGCTTCGCTCAGCAACGTGGCGAGACAGCCCTCCTCACGTGAAACGATCAACATTCAGTGTCATCGATACGTCATCTCATGTTCGTTGTTCATGGCAGCAAACAGAGCACTCGGCAGTCAAACTTGACATCAGGGTCTCGATGCGCAACACACGCTCGGTCTCTGACAACTCCGTGATATGATTGCGGTCGTCCATGACCCCTCACCAGTAGAAGGAGACGAACAGCAGGCCAGGCAGCGAGGTGACCAGCTGCAGCGTCCTCCAGTCGCGGATGAGGTAGGCCATGCCACCCAGTGTGATGAAGCCGAAGGAAAGCGGCAGACAGTAGGTGATGCCCAGCAGTGAACGCCACTTGTCCCCGATCAACTCCATGGCTGCAGTTCATCGGATCATCAGCGGGCTGAACTGTACGGGTTGTGACGCAGCTCGGGGGTCGGCAAGTCACAGGTTGTGACGCGGCTAAGGGGTCGAGAGGTCACGGGTTGTGACCCGGCTCAGGGGTCGGGAAGTTCAAAGGAGACCACGAGAAACAGCCGCATTCGCCAATGCCCGGGCCGAGACCACTGCAGTTCTCCTCATTTGAAAACACGGACAATGGGCCAGCAAGAGTTTGCGTACGCCGAAGTGACGTACGAGCAAGTATGACACGTTACACTTTGCACAATTTCTACTGCGGTACCATACTTTGAATTCAAACCTTGGGTTCTTATTTCAGCCCGCGGTAATATGTGTAGGATGGGAAGATTACTCTCCAACGACACGGAGCGGAAGCAAAACGAATGGCTTGAACACATGAGCAGGCCACAACATGCAAGGTGAGCTCTGAAAAGGGAGCAGGCAGCATGAGCTCTGAAAAACTTTTCTCTTGCTGCCTGGATGAGGTTTATGCACCGTGTTAATATGTCATGAGGTTGGCGTAAGTCAAACATTTGTCTGATGTCGCCAGTGGTGGGTATGTTCCCTTTTCGTTTTCCGTTTCCGGATGCAAGCCGTTTTCAGACACAAACTCTTGTTCACATTTTCACAAATAGTCAAGCCCGGCGCGGGAAATCTGAACTGCCTGTTAACCGCCAGTTTGTATCATTGCTCACGAATCCATCACGAGCATGCGCAAACTCCATAGGTTTTCTGGGGGACAGGTCCTGCAACAGAGATACGCGACTAACATTTCACCTCAACGCGCCCAGCTGCCTCTACCGAAGTTTGTTACTGCCTGATACTATTCATCAAACACATAGCTCTGACGCATCGATGACGATGACCCGTACGTTAATGTCATAGTATTACAATGTCTACACAGTCTAGAAATGAATTTTGTATCGCAGCGGCTTACGGCACAATGATGGCGAGTCATTCAGATATTTGCAAGTACATAATTACGGTTGCAAACTGACTGCTATCGGAAAAGATAAAAACGCAGTCAGTTTTTTGTCTTCCCAGTTGCACGTCCTCTCCAACAGGTATTCTCAGTCACACGTTTTTGACACTGTTCTGCTAAGGCCAAAGCAGACCACCATCATTACGGTGCAGCCCGAGGCGTACCGCGGTCAACTTACACATGACGAAGCCGGTCGTGTACATGCCGATCCCGAAGAAGGCGGAGGAGAAGCGGAGAAAGAGGAACATCTCGACGCTGGTGGAGGCGGTCGTGGCCACCGAGCACACGAAGTTGAGCGCCAGGCAAACCAGAAGTGCAGGCCGCCGGCCGTACCTGCGAACGTCATGGTGGATGTACGTTTACGGTACACAGTATGTACAGTGTGTGCTGGCCACCTCTCTGGCGGTGCCCGACGATGTGTCCGAGAAGCTGACGGTGTCAAACGGTGTGCCGAGAAGCTATTTGTGTTTGACGGTGTCAGAGAAGCTGCGAGCAAACAAAGACTCATTGGATGTGATGACAGCGGCTCATGGGCCAGGTCCCAGAGCCTGTACTAATGGCGCATTGAGGTCGTCTCCGACCGCGCAGAACTACCTTCCATCCTGCAGATGCGAACTGCGTAATCAATACGGTGCGACTAAACCAGGGGGTTGAATGGAGCTATTTCGCCGGCGAACAGCCTGACAGGAGGGTGTGTCTCTGTGACGCCGTAATGAACGGCACCGTTGGGCACACGGTCGATGAGATGGTGAAATGTTGCGGCCGCCACCTGACGCGGCTGCTTGCTCGGCCAGTGGCGCCTCGCTTCTATAGGACTTCCGACGTCACAACGGCGTGCCTACATCGTTAGGGCATCCAGCTGCGTGCTAGGCGATCTAACACTATAAAGGCTCATCATCTAAACAACACCAGAAGATAGAAGCGCAGCAGGAAGGCCAAACATTTCTGAATGCCTCCCTGTCGCCTCATCCTAGATAGGCTGAGATGTTGCGATGCAGGTGACATTTTTCCCTAAGCTTGGACTCACTTGTCTGCGAACACACCCCAGGTCAAGACACCGAACATGATGCCGATCATGTAGATGCCCTTCACCACCATCTGCAGCCACTCTTGCTCGCAAACCAGATCCCACTGAAAGAACAGATGTGCCAATAAACCACCGGAACCAGAGAAGTATTGTGGGAGTGTTGATATTAGCGCTCGGTTTTCTGACCCCGGTCTGTTTCCAGCTTGTGCACAGCCCTACCATCACAGCATCTCGAAGACTAAACATGACATGGCGTTGCCAGAAAAGTTTGTAACGGATAGCGATGTTTGTAAAGGCAAGTCACGTAAACTTGGATAGTTTAGATGGATTTCGAAAATAACTGGACTGAGCCTGATCACTTACACACTAAGTAAAAACCGGCGGTGCACTCATCTTACCTCAATGATGAGGTTGCTCGTGTATTCCGTGGTATCATAATGCCACGCGCTGCAAGGCACAGTAACGTTCACCTCAGGCATCACAGTATTTGCATCCCAGGAGAAGGCGAGGCATTGGGATTTGGCTTCCGCTCCATCCTGCCAACACAAATGTCCATCACTAGACAGCGCTGCCGTCGCACGCGTGGCGATGGCGCATACGAGGGCAGTACAGCCGGTGCAGCATGCCCACCCTGAGCTGCGTTGGTGCTGCCGCCGACCTCCACTGGTCCGGAGTACCTCTCAACCCCCCCCCCCCCTCCCGGTCCGGAGTAACTATCACAAGTTTCAGCACTCCTCCGAGTGGGGGTATCGATCCGAGCTGTAGTATTACTGCGGTCTGGACATTCATACCGGACTGCAGTGATACTCCTCACGACATGCACATGCCCACCACCCAGCCCCGCTCCGAGCGACGGCAGCGTTTCGGCCCGGCCTCTCACCCTGAGTTCCAGCGGTACCGCGGCCGCCCTCCACTGCTCGGGCGTGCAGAGGGCGCCGGGGGCGCCGGGGCTGCCGCAGCCAGTGCCCTCTGGCGGCGCGCACCAGTGGTCGGTGGGCGGCGCCAGGAAGACCACGCCCAGTACCTGCCAGCCGCACAGCAGGCCGACCAGCGAGACCAGCACGGAGAGCTGCACCTGCCAGCGGCCGATGGCGCCCAGCGCGCACACCACCTCGTCCTCGCCGGCTGACATCGTTCTGCCTGCCGGCAACATGGCGGCCGAGTCAGGCGGGCCGGGCCGGACGGGATGCCGCGACTGGGCAGGGCTGCCCGCGGCCGTAGTTGGTGTCAATTCGACACCGAGGACTTGCGTTATGGTACATCAGACACGGCGCTATGCTCGGGAGGTGTGCCTCCTCAATGAGCCAATAAAAAACTTTGACAAGTAAGATTGGGCACTGAGCAGCTGTATGTAGATGCTTCTGAACATGTATGTGTTAGAGTGCGAGATAAGACAGAAGGCAGCGCAGCCCCGCAGGAACGCTCCGCGCCAAACACAACACGATCGACAGACCGGCGCATAAAGTACATCAGAAAGCTGAGCTTTACGTTAAATGGAGACAGGACGGCGCAGTGGAAGTCCGTGGGGCTGTAGACAGACGTGTGTTCCGACGCAGGACCGGCTCACATACTGCGGGATTCGGTTCAGCTAATGACTCAAAGCCGTTCCAAATTGTTTCATTTAGTCTAGTTCAGACTCATCGCTTGCGTTAAATCATTTGGCTCATGACTCATGCGGCTTGCGAAATAAAATGATCCGACTCAGCTCTAGCTCGTTGCCTGACTACTCATTTGAGAGAGAGAGAGAGAGAGAGAGAGAGAGAGAGAGAGAGAGAGAGAGAGAGAGAGAGAGAGAGAGAGAGAGATATATATATATATATATATATAGATATATATATATATATATATATATACGTATATACATGCATATATGTATGTATACATAAATTATATATATATATATATATATATATATATATATATATATATATATATATATATATATGCATATATACATTTAGACATACATATACATAATAGCATGGAAACAATGTACAACTGGCATAGTGGAAAATTTGTGGTTTAAATCTGGCAAATAGTGCAGCAAGCATACCTTTCCTTTGAACCATTACCAACCAGCTCCCTCTAGTCTCAGTTTCTGGCCAGCACATTCTAGCTGGCGCTTATGACCTGGACCTATTAGTGTAGCTCCATGCAGGATGTCTGTGCCATGTAATATCCCTGGCTCCTAGCTGATACAAAAAAAAACTTTAAATCAGGAACAGGAATATGGTGATTGCTGCCTAGGAATTACAATAACAAACTGTGTGCCGATTTTATAAAGAGCTTTCAGCTAATATTGCATGCTGTTGATTTTAACACGCTGAAATGAGTTGTGGATTTTTCTGGAGCGTGCTATGTTTCCTCATGTTACTATTTTGCTTTGAGATACAAGGCTCACTGGCAAGACTCAAGTCGAACTCAAGCTGCAAGTGATGGGCTCACGATTTAGCTCATAGCATTTACCAGTTATGTGACGGAACTCAGTTCACGAAACAGCTCAAGTCGAACTCGAGTCTGGCCTCAAAATCTATAGTAAGCAAGCTCCTAGTTAGTTCTAACGCATCAGCCCGGGGTCATGTCCAATCTTCCAATGCATGGTGTCCCTAGCGAGTTCACGTCCACCAGTCTGTTGCACACGTACGGCCGCCAGCATACGCCCTCCCAAATCTGTGTCCGTTGGCACACGCCCTCACACAACTGCTGCCAAGGGCGCGCACATCTCCCGCCGCCGCGGATATACGCCGCCAGATGTGTCCCCGCACCGAGGGTGCACGCCGTTCCACGCCGTCTGCAACCGCGGACACACGCTGCCTCGCATCTCCCTCACGCCGTCCGCAGCCGCGGACACACGCTGCCTCGCATCTCCCTCACGCCGTCCGCAGCCGCGGACACACGCTGCCTCGCATCTCCCTCACGCCGTCTGCAGCCGCGGACACACTCTGTCACACATCTCCCTCACGCCGTCTGCAGCCGCGGGCACGAGCTGCCTCGCATCTCCCCCGGCTGCGCGCACCCAAAGAAAGCTCGCCCAAACGCTGTGTGACTTGAAGTTGTCGTGTAGTTGCAGTAGTATATCATGTGTTGTCACCTTATCATCAAACTATATCTTTTAACATGTTGAAATATGCTCGCCATAGACCTCCGTTTATACATTTCTGACGGAAACAGGGAATCACCCCTAAACTCTTTGGCTATGAACGACCATACCTTTTCGCCTTCTTCTCGTCTCTTGTTTGAACAACCAGCTCTTCAATGAAATCTAGCACATGCTATAAACACCAAACAATGGACCATTACCGGAGTGCAACCAAGCTTCGGCGAAGGCTCAAAATGGTCGGATCAGGTCAGAGGGCCTCAGTTCAGATCAATAAAAGCTTAGAGTAGTGAAGAGCGGCAGCCCAGATGCATGATTCACAGACCGAAATGGCCTACCCGAAGTCGTGTGTGAGCTTCCAATCCCCAACAAAGAGAGGGTCACTGATATGTCAGCACCTGAAGCCACAAGCCTTGGCAACGCACCAGTATGCACCTCTCCTACCAAGTCGGCTGCGACACCACGTCACCCACCTGTCAGCCACCCCGCCGCTGGCCCGGCTCGCTCCCGAGACCCGGCCTGTCCGCCGGTCGCAGTACGCCTGCCGCAGCGTGCTGCTTGTCCCGCGGCGCTCGACACGGCCGTCCGGCAGTGTCGCAGCTCGGCTGGCGGCCAGCTCTCGCGTGCAGCAGCTGACGCCTGGGACGCCGCCAGGCGCTGACGTCACGGGGCGACCCTCCGGCCGCGCGCCGGTCGATCCCGCAGCGCGTGCGCTCGGCTCGTACCGTTGAGACGGGTCGCAGCAGGCCGCGCCACCGCCGGCGGCGGATCGCTGGCCCGCAGCGCCCGCTTCGGCGCCGCCGAACGCCTGGCGCCGTCGGGTGTCATGATGAGACAGGGGTCAGGTGCGGTCGGGGCTGCTCAGACCCCTCAGATGGCGACACCAGTGGCTCAGCTGATGGCATGATCCGGGCTTATGCTGTCAATGTGCTGCTCGTTGTTTGCTGTGGCTGCGATGCGCAGTGTTGCTAGCTGTAGGCGTTTTAGTCACATCGTACGAGGCGTTTTGAAAAAAAAATAGTGAAGTGACTTAGCAGAGAATTCCCAACTCAGATTGGCACACGATAGCAATTAGAGATTGTCGCAGAGGAAATGAGCTCGCGTGTATAAAGCACGTTTTTGATCGTGGTTGGTTAGTGAGTGGATTATGCTCAGCAATGGAACATTGGTACGACGTAGTTAATCAGGCGTGAATTCTTAAAGGTGGAACAATGTTATGGTTTTGAAGCCACTCATCCATGGCTTCTTGTCGCAAAGCTATAAACTTGCAAACACTTTTCGAAAGTTCGGATTGGGTGAGGTCGTTTATTGAAAAGCAAGGCTCCTAAATATTCTTGAAAGCCTTGGAAATTGCACTCGCAAAAATCTCCTATTTCCGGCGGCTCAAATGTTTTTTTTTCGTCCCGATAGCTCAGTTGGATGGAATGCCTGCCTTTTGATCTATCCATCCCTGGCGGGGTGAGGTAGAGTTTCTTTAGGTGCTCGCTATTTGCCTCGAACTGCGATGACCTGCAAACGACCCAATGGCCTGCGGGCAACAAAACGTTGTTTGAATATTAATGTCGGGTGTTGACACTACAAGGTATTATATTCAGTATTTGCGTCCACTCACTGAACGTATCAAAGTATCAAACGCTCGTGCTTTCTGTATTCAGAACACGAAATCATCATGATTGCTCTCAGACGCACTGGAATCTCGGCGCCTGACCTCGGAATGAAAATTGTAAAATATAAAAATCTGCCGTGTGAATGACTCTTGACGATGAGCTAAACACACTGACCTTAACAACTTAAATATGTTCAGAAGGGGAACAGGTGACCGTTGGCATTCGATTTTCTAACCATCCCGACAAAATACAGGGTATTATGAGCTGCCGAAGGGATAATAACCAAGAGCCCAGCAGCTTTGCTCGGCTACATCAAAAGCTGGATAAAATCGAAAAAGACCTGCAAGATGCCGCTACAAACGTGTCTCGGTCAGATCCAAGAGACGGAGATATGTCTATAGAAACAATGCTCATGGAGAAGGTAAGCCTCGATGATGAGCCTTAATGCTCATTGTATATTGTTGAATACTTCACCTTAAAATAGCAAGGCTACGATGCCATCGTCAGCTGTTATGTTCATAAATGTTTGTCCTGTCCTGTCAAACACTTGAGTTTACTATCTTATAGTGTGGGAAAGCAAAATCGTCGCGCTACAGCACAGCTGCAGTAGGATAATTATATTGCCCAAAAGCATCCAAGCCGTAGCATAGATAGCTTTGGGGAACATGTGATTTGAGGGACCATTGCATTTCTGACCCAGTGCGGGCAGACAGCCTCCAGGGTTTTTTAGTGAGCATGTTCATGGTGAGGCAAGACAACCACTTCATCTGCGCCGTGAAGAATTGGGTGCATCTTACTAGCTTGTTGAAACATGCATAATTAGCAATTCTGTTGTACATGTCTGTTGAGTGATGGACGTAGTAGGTTCTTGACTATTTCTCCTACCAAGCGCAGCTTCTGGTAAAATGAAAAGGGGTGCTAATAACCAACATTTCACAGCTACTTAAGTCGCACTTTGTACATCCTTTGAAAGCTACATGACTTCCTCACCACGTTCTTGATGGCCACTTTCAGAACGTCCGCGCGCATGACATACTCTAAAACAGACGGTATGCTCCAGCGAAGCATGGAGGAGCGGCTTGACGTGATGCAATCCGAGCTGGAGAGGCTGGAGAGCTACGGCGGTGACTGCCGCTCGGAGAGGAGCCGTGACGTCACGCGCACCTCGTCACCTGGCGAGCTGGCCAAGCCACGCACCGTCCGGGCGCGCGCCACTAAGGTATGCACGCACTCATACGCGTCGGCCTCGGGAGGACATTCGGAGCCGAGCTCACACGAGCTAGGCTAGGCGACGCCTCTGAACACTCAGGTAATTGGACGTGTGGCATGATGACCGCTTGGGTTCTTGTTCCGCTGTTTTAGCGTTTTGGCTGTATGATTAGGTCGAAGCGTTGATTACTGCGGCGTATAACACTTGGGATCTGTTCTAACACTTATAACATTAACACTTCGTCAGTGATCTGTCCGATCCTTGCATGAAGTTGGCACAGTCAATATTTTAGACGCTTTGCATGTCATGCATACCAATATTCCCAAACTGTCAAAAACATTTTGGAATTTTAGGAGCACTCAGAAACGTCCACGTTGCGCAAAGCTGCTTCCATTTTCCGTTTGCAATATGAATCGGCAGCACAAAGCTGTTCTACCTTCCCCAACAAACGCTTGGAGTAAACCAAAGGATGTGTCCCTCAGCTCAAAGAAAGTTCGCAGGGAGAAAAGCTACAAGTGTCGTTGGTACGGTAGCTGTGCCAGTGACGTTACTGGCATCCCGTGTCATTGCATTGCATCAACTGAGTTCCTTTATTGTGCCCACGCCGCAGAGAGCATTTGACATGTACACGTACGTGCGTTCACATTTCCACACCGATAAATGCCCTCGATAAATTTGTTTTTATGCGCTTTAAAGAAACCAGAAAGCAACTAAAGTAGTGCTTGTTGTCTCAGGGCCACTGTATTCACCTCGAATACATGCGTGATTACTCGTGCCCGTTCACCGGCTGACCCCTGTCCGACTTGTCTGTGCCTGGCTGTAGCGCAGTCGGCCGCCACCCACCCGTCGATGGTCGTCCGACAGGACATGTCGCTGCCGCTGCAACACCTTCTTCTCCGACACCAGGAACAGCGTAAGGCATGCGCGGCTGTTAAGCGTCAGACTGTATTAGCGCCGTGTCAATGTAATTGGAGTTTTGCAAGCGCGAAGTGAACATGATAACTGTGCCGTAGTTTCAGCTTTGAAGAGCAGCCCGAGGCATTTGACTGTGCCTTATACATGAGGATAAGAGATGCATTTTTTCAAATTGAGAAACATCTCGGGGACTGATCGCGTCAGATCGAGCTCTGTACACAGAGAAACAAACATCATTATCTCAAAATTGTCTGCTTGGGAATATTCCCGGCGGTTGTATGAATAAATGACAACCTCAAAATGTAGGTAATCAAAATGCTTCCACAGCCAGCTGCTGATTCAGACCGTCAGCTTCAGCAAGTTCAGCAAGATTTGGCAGAGGCCACCGGCCAAAAACAGACCATGCAAGAGCGAATTTACGAACTAGAGGAGGCTCAAAAGCAAGACGAAACTGATCAAGAGGTGAGTTTATAACCAGACTGATCAAGATGGGAGCTTATAAGCATGCATATAGCACACTTATTTGCAATGCGATTTCTTATGTGTTTCTGAATACCTCATGGCCTAATCAAAACAAAAACTTTAGAGGATATCAAAAACTGTAATCAACAAAAAATACCGGGTCCATGGCCGCAGCCTTCGAGATGACAAGTACGGGGAAACTGAATGCCAGTATTGTCGCTTGTGCCTGGCTCTGTGTCGGGCGCATCTGCCCGCGCGCGTGTGCTGTGCTCAGGAGATCCGGAATCAACTGGAGGAGGAGCGGGACCGAACACAGCAGATGGAGCAGGATAACATGGATTTGAAGGAGCAGATCCAGCGGCTGGAGATGGACCTTTCTAACCTGCCGGTCGGCGACTGCGGATCCATGCGCGAGGCGTCCGTGCAGATTACGCAGCTGCTGCAGACGCTGAACGAAGACATGGTGAAGGCCCCCGAGCTCTGCACCCGCCTCCGGATGGCCGCGCAGCAGGTCAGACGACACCGGCAGGCCAAGGAGCGAGTCAGTTTGATGTTTCGTAGTGCATTCAACGTGGATTTTTTGCGTTGATATTATTAGAAATGCGCCTAATTCGGTGCCTAATCTGAAATGCAAGGAAATCAGAACACATAGGGTTGCAAACAATCGTTTGTCGTCCGGTCTATAAAAAAGTCGGCAAAAGTTATTCTATAATCACTTTTATATAGTCATCATCTCCAATTTCATCATTTTACGTTCATCCTTTTTCACGTTAACGTAGATGTGGCATGATGAATAGGTGCACCAGATCGAAGACCGGTGATGAAACACATTACAAAAATGACTCAGGAGTCAAGATTTACCGCTATATGTATAGCCTTGACCACAAACTACGGGTTTTGCTGCCGCTTATCCAATGTTTCGTGCATTTCTGGTTTGATACCAAATAAGGTCCGTATCTAACACCGCTAGCATGAAGAGCGCCCGTGTAACGTCGACTGTGGTAATATGATACCTACGCGTAGCAGCTAACTTAGAAAGATGCACAGCCCGGTTCAGCAAGGGAGGGCTGACCTTTGTGCTGTGCACCAAGGACTGGCTGTGCTGCTGTTTCAGATCATCGACGTGGAGAAGCGGTGCGCCAATGAGCGCGGAGCCCGCTCCATGGACCAGCAGGAGGTGCAGTTTCTGCGCAGCGAGAACCAGCGGCTGCGGGAGGTGGCGTTCCGGGCCAACATGAGCGCGTTCCAGGCCACCGTCCAGGTGCCGCAGGGCCAGATGACGCCGTACGGCATGCAGGGAATGGCAGGGCCTCAGGGCTACGCCGACCCTATGGGCAACCCGTACGGAAACATGGGCATGCAGGGTCAGGGCATGCAGGGCGCGCCGGGCATGGGCGGGCCGCAGGTGCGCCGGAAGAGCATGTTCCAGCGCGTGTTCCGCAAAAACTCCCCCGAGGACATGGGTCCGGCGACCCTGCAATACCAGGACGGCAGCCGTGCACAGTTCGACCCGATGATGTCGCTGCAGCAGCAGCGGCTGTCGGTGGCGTTGCAGGAGAATCCGGATGAGGCGGCCAAGCGACTGCAGATGTTGAACCAGGACAAGCGGAAGGGCTGCTGTCCACGCTGAAGCCCGGGTCGGGACGCCGCGCCGGACCGAAGAGCGGGCCGGCTCGTCCGGGTGGACGGGGGAGGCTCGCAGACCCCTGCCGATCCAGTGAGAGGGGACGGGCAGGCGAGTTGATGACGGGAGGTTAAGGATGCGCTCGGCGGACCCGCGGAACGGGCTGGCGTGAGGCTGGACGCTCACTCGCATGCTGCTGCATCAGTCCATTGGCCATTACTGCCTTGCATTTGCAAATTCATCGTGCCGGTTGACTGAGTTGTCGTTGGCAGCAACCAACTGTCATGAAGGTGCGAAATTGCAAAGTTTTATGAACACAGCTTTCGCGATCAACTCTTGATGTCTATTGTTAAATGCGGATATTAATAAAAACACACGCACGCGATGATGTTTTGCCCGTGTTTGTTGCTTGCGTGTTCCAAGAGTTGCGTGGCAATAGTCCTATGATGTTATGACGATGGTGGGGTTGGGAATAAAACTATATAGAGATATCATATTGATATATCATGTAAATGTATCTAAATCATTATTATAATATTTCATATTCTATTGGTCATATATGGTATAATACTCTATGATATATTATACCATATAAGGGAGAGAGAGAGAGAGAGAGAGAGAGAGAGAGAGAGAGAGAGAGAGAGAGAGAGAGAGAGATATATATATATATATATATATATATATATATATATATATCCGATGTTATATATACATATATATATATATATATATATATATATAATTTAAGGGACTACCCATTATTAAGCAATGGAGTCTCATAGTCAGAACGCAAATCCAGGGCGGCAAGTAACTGCCACCATCTGACTCTGGGCATTATAATTTTCCTTATCCTACGCGGTGCGTAGAATTTGTGTATATTTCATGGTGCGGTTACAAAAAACATGCTGATGTGCGCAAAATGAGAAAGATGCGAGCGAATATGACGTCTTTTTATCTCATTATTTTATTGTTTTTGGTGCACTTAAGCTCATGGGAACGTGAAATGTTCTTGAGTTTCTGGGAACTTTTGTAAGGCCGGCACTTTTGTTATCATCATGTGGCCCTCGTAAGTCCCAATATCCCATGGCTGGAGGTCCCAACGTTCGTTGGATTAATATCCGTTGATTGGTATATCTATCGGATGGCATTGGTCTCAGCAGTGAGAGTGCGTCAAGGACGGCTCTGCCTGGGATCAGACCATCTGTGACAAGGCCGCGCTCCCATGGCACTGTAACGGCACCTCAGTTGTCCACAGTGCCGACGATGGAGACCAGCCTGCTCTGGCTGTGCTGGCTGCTGCTTAGTCTGGGAGCATCGTCAGCCGGTTAGTATTCGGCCGTGACGTGTTGCAGGCGCGCTCATCAGATTCCTGGAACAAACGAAATAAACAGACATTGGAGTATGAGTGAAAATCAACAGTTACAAATAACTTTGTGAGCATCTCTGTAATATATTATAGCAAGTGGCCTGCAGGTCTTGCATCAGCATGATGGTGTAGTGGACCAGTTACCAGGAAGCAATCCGAGAGGTCAAACGGTCAGAAGTGAAACGTTGTTTACCAGGGATATCGCGTATTATAACTGTGTAGGATAAGAGGGTAAATGGAGATGACTTCGGTACACGAAACTCATTCATGCATAGGGACTTCCGTGCGCAAAGCTTTGCCGAAACAAAACACCGGACAAGCAGGAGAGTGCTGCAGGCGTCGGCGGGGAAAAGGATGGAGACGACTATAGACGCACAGTGCGTGTGGTATTCTTCGCCCAATAGGATGAGTCGAGAATGGACGGTGCCCATGCAGCTTAACCACGGCTGTGTGCTGCCTTTGTGCGCCTTTGCTATCCAGCTCAGTGCAAACTGACACAAGAACGGTTCTCTCATGAATGCCTCGTTTTGCTTGGGGGCCGTAAAATGTTTCAGTGTCGTTTTACAGGCGCCAGATGAAGTGTTCCGCTGTCCGCGACCTTACGGACTAAAAATATTCCCTCCCCTTAGAAATTGTATCAGGTTCCCACGGTTATAACGCACCCGGGTGTCCAGTTGAATGTCATTCGCTCCATTGGGGAGGGGGAGGCAATCTGACCCCCCTGAGATCTCAAAAACTAAGGTAGCTAGAGACACATCAGGGTAAATTAGCATGTATGTGAATTTACTTATGTCAAAATTTAAGGTTCCTAGGTCATTACCCTGGGACAAATAAGGTCAAACATGGTTTAACTACAGACTGGTGTGTCAAGTGCACCTAGACTCCCTCATGTAATCGACGTAAAGCTAGTTACCTGTTTTAGGCAAAAGTTCAGTGATGTAAGTGACATTGTTTGACCTTTATAATGCTAAGCTGACAAAATACCTATGAGATTCCTCTCATTTTACCATTCGAATAAGCATCAGGGGTCACGCTAATCGGTATGCTCCTAAAAACACAATGTTTATGTAGGTCATTTTAGGTTAGGGACCTACTCTCCGACTTTTTGAAAAGTTCAAGAAACATGTGTTTTGTGGTTCTTGTCATGAATGCACTTGACATGAGCACCAGGAACTCCCTCAGAGAACCAAGGTCTCGAGTAAAAAAGCAGATTAGGTTTGACCTCGGTCTGACATTCATACCTGAGCCTAGTTCAATTAAAAACACTGGAAATGCTCTTCGCTGACAGTCATGGCCTGGCTTTGACCTGCCATAGATTAGCGCTCTCACAAGGTGCATCCAATTTTGTTGCATCAAAGGATCCTCCACTCAATTTTCTACAGCTATGCAAAATTTGGCGCGCCCACGTCTCGTCGTTCAGAAATCATTCTGGAAAACCTTTTGGGAAGGTTAATTTGACCCCTCCCCCACCCGAGCGCGTGTTAATTAAGTTAGCAGAATTCATACGGCATTTTACACTGCCGTTAAATGTCACCTAGGAACTGTGAATGCGTGCACAGGTGGTCAGTTGAATGCGACACGCTCAGGCGGGGGATCACTTTGAGTCCCCTGAGGCCTTTAACAAACCCCCTGAGGAGACCTGTATGTGAACTCACTTGTTACAGATTTGTAGATCCTAGGTCATGACTTTTGAATCGAATAAGGTCAAAAAGGTCAAACACCGGATTGGTGCTTGAAGTGTTCCCAGACCTCCTCACGCAGCCGCCTTTACGCTAGATACCTGTGCTTATCAAAAGATCACCAGTGTTCATTTCAGATCAGTAACCTTAGTTGGCCTTTGAAGGTCACAGTGACCGAAACCCACGATATGGCTTTCATATTGAACTGAGATAAGAGTGAAGGATTACATTGGGTGGCACGTTTCTAACAAAACAAAAAGTTGATTGGGGTAATTTTAGGTCATTGACCTGCCCTGACCTTCAAAAGGCTAACATAGAATATCTGTTGACGTCCTCGTGATCGAGAAATTTGGAAAAGGCATAAAAACTCCCCCCTAAAACCAGGTCTGCGTTCAAAACAGTTGGGTTTTGACCACGGTCTGACTCCCTACCTGACCCAAGGTCAATGAAGTCCGTCATAATCCTAAATCAAATCGGGCAATTATCTAGGAAAGTTTCCGAGAGATGCATGGCTTCGCCTGACACTTCCTTATTCGATCATATCGAACGATTCCCCAAGACCTCTAATTACAGTCATGGCTTGACTTTTACCTGCCACAGCTCAGAAAACTTAAAAAGTATATCTAATGTCGTGTACCAAAAGAACCACCAGTCAATTCCTTACAGCTAGGTAAAGTTTGAGGCGGCTACGCCTTGTCGATAATAAATTATTCTTAACTAATCCAATAACAAAGCTTTTGGGCAGTCAAATTGACCCCACCCTACCCGAACACCTGTTAAGCTTACAGTTGCAATGTAAACTATGACGTCGTGTGTCACGCCGAATATCTTAAAAATCATCAAAATCTTCGACCAACTGAAAAACGCTAGTATCTATAATGTTTGCCGTATGATTGTATAACAAGTAACACCAAATGAATGAGCAGGCTTTTGCGCTCCAGTGTCACGCCGTGATTTTGATGAATGTTAGGATTAAGGCAAGTCTGGGTCTTGCTCGATCGAGAGCAAGTCACCTCATTGGGTGTGATTTTACCGGTTTTCACATGGCCTTGGTTTGAGAAATGTGTCCGTCAAGCCTGCTTACGGCATGTATGACTTGGCCCCGTATTACTACTGTTGGTGACCTCGTGAAGTGTGACTACCCCTAAATGCCAAACAGTCAATCAGTGAATGAATCATTTTAAAACAACCCAGAATAATAAAGAAAATTGCAGATAATCGCATATGCGTAAGGATTGTCGTGTACCCATCGCATATGCAGTTATGACTGCGCTCTTAACTATCATCGAAAAAATCGAGCAGAATGTGTCAGCGTTATCACTTATAAGGACCGAAAATTTGGTGGATTTGGCTGCAACAGCTTGGACAGAAATTGTCAAACTCAGAAAAGAGTAAATGGTCTAATGCAATGAGGCCGCTCATTTCAAATGGAGTGTCGCAGTGCTTTCTATTGACCCAAGCAGTCTCGCATTAAGAAACACGCTTCCGGTTGTCTAGCTTCATCGTCAAATTTGGTGCAGAATTTGTGTCGAGCCGTAATAGCGGTAACGCGTTTGGATAACTAAAGGAGTGGAAAATGTCACCATGCAAAAGCTAGTGATGGGGAGCTTTTGTCTTTGACGGAAAACCATGGACACCATCGCCTGGATTTGAAAGCCGGTGTTCTGTACATTTTCTTGAAACCTTGTATGTTAATCAATTAAGTTACATAATACAAAAATTACATAATTTACATAACATTATAATTGATAAAGACAATATGGTCTTCGCAACTGGCTGCAGGGACGAGTACGGCTTCATGAAGCACCAGACCGCCGATACTCCAAAAGGCCGCTGGTATCTTCCGGTTCGAGACATATTTTTGAACCGGGAAGATGACAGTTTTCCCTTTAATACACAATGTTGGGTTCGCTTGAAACGAATCACGTCTGTGACATTTTTACAGACGATGTATGCTACAACGACGTAGGATGCTTCACCACCGACTACCCCTGGAGCGACCTGATGAGACCCTTCCCAAACTTGCCCGAGTCCCCCGAGAGGATTCGCACCAGGTTTCTTCTGTACACGAGGTAAGCGTCACGTAATACTACGTCGCAAGTTATTGACTTAAAAATGCATATTTGACAGCGTTGAATGCATAGTTTATGTTGTTATGTATTCAGAGCACTGTCACATGTTGTCAACTTTTTACAAACATTCATCAGGCTTCTAGCATGCCTGGATGTGTCAACTGGCCAGGTAAAACAATTCGACGCTTACGCTGAAAATATTCTTAACCTTACAAATATGAACGTGGCATTTCCAGAAACAATACGGAGCAAGTAATTACATATAACGGCCCAGATTTGGGTGACTTCTCTCCCGAACGGAAGACAGTATTTCTTGTGCACGGATTCAACGACAACGGAAGAACCGGCTGGATGGTTAACTCCAAATATCTTCTGCTGCAGCAGGTTAGAAATACATTATTACATTCCGATTCCACATTAAAGAATGTTTCGTCCAAGGCTATAGAAACAATATGATAGACCGCTCCGGTCTCCGTAAATGTACACCCTCTGGCTTCGGGAGCAGCCGCGAATGAGATCATACTCTTGCTTTAATTGGTCATAGGATATCATCTCGTCAAAGACTTAAACTCCAGTTGCTATGGCAAAAAGCTCAGATTCTGTACTGTGGTGGTGTGTTCAAGGGTTGGCCGTGACCTGTGTTACGTCATATTGTATGATCCTGAGGCAGAAAAGAGATGTTTATGAGTGGGTTTGCACTGACAACCTGAGATGTTATATTAACAAGAACGATTTACGCGTAAATGCTGTTATTTATGGCACAGGATTTTCATGTAATGGGCTTGCCATGTTTTGACGGTCAATCGTCACGGAAAGACAAATCGTTGTGATGTCAGCAAGACATGCACATGGTACAATGGACATGGCGTGAAAAGAGGTCAGGGAACAGCAATACAGCATTGAACAGGAAAATAAGTCAAAAATTATGTTCCGGATATCAGGCAGTCTACGCTCATGAATGCTGTAATGACGCAAAATGAGACGGCGAATGAAGGTTGTAATTTGCAATATCGACACCAAGTGTGTAGGTCCAATACGGGAGTGTTGGTGTGTAGCTGCATGACATGCAAGTGTGTCAATGTAATTTAAGTTTATGCGCTTGTTCACAAAATTGCTCGTACACACAACGCGCAATGAATTACAATTGTTGCATTTACCATGCTCTTAAAGCCGGACAGGTTCTGAGCATTTCGTATGTTAATTAAAAGTAATCGCGACCCATGTAGGTCAAGTGCAGCACGATTTCCCCCCCCCCCCCTGCCCGGTATCTATCTTATGGTAGCGGTTGGACAATTTTTGGCCCAATTTTTCGAAATGTTGGTCCATGCCAGATAACTTTAAGGCCAACTCAATCAATGCTGCACTACCATTACGTGTTTTCATGGTATTGTAACACAAAACAACATGTGAAAATGGTAGTTCTGTAATAGGTGCTAGTGATTTCTTGGGGCTGGGACGTTTTCCTTTGGAATCAGTACCTACGAACAGAAAATATTTAATCTAACGTCAACCAATACGAAATCTGTTCGCTCGGATAAACATGATGGCTTATGATGGATACAAAATGCCGCGTTCGGCATTGCCACTAAATTTGTATTCGTGTTTGTGCTTACAGATCCAGTACCAACAGATCTGTGTCTGGCATTCAATGTTGGTTTCTGGTTCTCAATTCCCTTGTCAAAACGAGACCCTAGACGCCTGGTTTTGGGCGGTTCTTTTAGCGTGACCAGCCCTGGTTCCTGGATTTCACCGATTATTTTAAAACACCACGGTTTGGCTGCTGGCTTTCACTGATTTCGTTTTTTACAAACTCAACGTATGGGTTATAAGCTCCATTCAGTTCCTGACAAACACCACCCTCGCTTCTGGTTTCCATTAATTCACTCACAAACAGCTTGATACTAACTCCTGTTCGTCACCGGCTCATTCGTCAGCATCAGCTTGGGTTACCATTTGACAATATTCCGCCATTAAAATGATATATAAAATCAACAATATTTTACGCATGTTCTTTAATATTTACATGTGCACAATGCATAACATAAGCTCATCGAATGAATAAGTCATGATTTTTAACAATGCTTACAGGTGAGAACCTGATTCTCATTGATGCCTTTTATTTTATGCTGCTTTTTGGTGCTACTGGATCCTCATCATATTTCCAGGTTAAGTATTTGCTATTGCTGGAACTATCGGCACAATGGAAGCTGGCTCTCGGTTCTGACACCTCTGCACACTTTATGCCATATGTTGAACTCTTGTCGAAACTGTCGGCATAGTTTCAAGCTTAAACCCTTTTCTGCTAGTTCCCCAACCTCAATTCAATTGAATCCTGGTTCTTACTACATCTACGGCTTGCTTTTAAACTGGTTCCTAAGTTTTCCTGGTGTTGGTACCAGGAACCAGGAACTAGATTGAACCGCATCCCGGAAAAAATGTGGGAATCAGGTAAATGTTGTTTTTTGCCGGGTTGATTGACCATGCTTGCTAGCATCACCGCACGCCAGCGCGTTGCATTGCGCCAGGACGGCTTGGCTCGGCCCGTTCGGGTTGCCAATTTGCCAGCACTTCAAAAGCAATGAGACTGGGCTCGAAATATGTCTGCACGGCTGAGTTAGTCAGAACAAGGTCTTGTCACTTTGATGTAGCTTGCGAAAGGTAGTAATATTCAGTTCAAAGCACTCTATTGCAAACTGCTTAAACCCACTTATCGGCCTTAGGTTGCCTACGGTTGAAATTCTTATGCATCTGTCGCGCGGCATGATGCAGAGTCGAACACGTCTTAACGCCACAGCTCAAAACACGTTGCCTCATGCAGCTTGTCCGTCGCGTTTATAATGGTGCACCACGCAGGCTCCCTCTCGCGGGGGATTCGCACCGATAGCAGTGTAATCCGCGAGTAGACAGCAGTAGACCGGTCGGCAGCTCGGTGGGTGGAAGCTCTTGCTGGCGCCGATACCAGGAGGACATCGCCTCGAGATCGAAGAGCGGGCCCTGCAGGCCGTTGGTGGTCGGCAGTGACAGGAGTGGGACTGTGACTTACAGCCAGCAGTTCTCGCCCCGTAGGGTGAGTCGGACGGACACGTCGTCCGGCGCCATGACTAGTGCCAGGAACATAACGCCGGGTGGATGACCTCCTGTGGCGTACGGACGCCTGTGGTTCAGCCCGTAGCCCCGGACAGGCGCGGCGGCTCCGAACGTCCTTGACGAGTGAGACGATGCCCATCTGCGGGTACAAAGCTCGGCGGGTCCGGAGCCAGCAGCATCCCATCTCGTGCCACACAAGCCGGTACTCGTGCCAGGTGAACAGCTCTGTCGATTTAAGATACTCAGTATATTTGGAAATGGTATATAACTAAGACAGCTTAGGTGGTACTCAGTCGTTTTTTTTATATTTTACCTTATCCTATGACATTCAACACCGAACCAAAATGATGTTTCACATCAAGCAGCACAGAGATCAATGACACAGTAATAATTCCTACAGTATTCCCTTGAATAAAATAAAAAAATAATCATCCCTTTGTTTGATTCATATCTGGGTCAGCACTTTTTAACAGATGCTGGCACATCCGGATGGCATATATATATATATATATATATATATATATATATATATATATATATATATATATTTATGTATTTATTTATTTATATAACATATGTTGGCTGATGGCTTCCGATGCCTACACCCACGCTGGCGTTTCATCCCACCAATTCTTATTTGCACGTTCATGAAACAGCATCACATCGTTACTTCAGATAAGCTACCAAAACAAAATGAGCACGACAAATTAAAGTGAACGGGGTGGAGAGTGATAGCTGAGATCCATTGATCTTTGCCAATGTCAACCCTGAGTTTTTCCGAAATTTTACGTTTTAAATGAACTAGATGTCCCTTATGGCGTTGTCATTTCGAGCACTTCTAACCGAAGCAAAATACATGTAAGTGTGAGTTTTTTCCCCAATGCCGGGGGTTAATCGCCACGTTAACCGAGTTTCTCAGGGTTTCAAACTTTGACGACACCACCTCCTCTGACCAATCACATGATTAGATTGACGTCCGAATTGGTAGCATGGGTGGGCATGGGCTTAAAAACAGTGACACTTTTTGGTAGTGCCGAAGACACTGAAGCGCGCGCGCCCCTGGCTTGGTCCTTTGCGTCTGTCAGCTGAGTGGAGCTGATTCAGCTAGCTGGTCACGTTTAAAAGAGCTCCGTATTTCTAAGGATTTGTTTGTGCGTTTTTGATTTATATTACCGTGTTTTGTAGTATTTGTGCGGTGTGTTGCAAAGAGAGGGTGAATGTTGAAACGAACTAAACCTAGCAAAGAAATACAAATACAGATGTTTTAAAAGTCTTTCATTGCATTTGGTACATCTCTCACTACTCAAACACGATCACGCATGGAATGAATTAGCATTGGATGCTCATTGTCATACGAATGAGTCACGGACGTGCCTGGAGTCAAATTATATGCAACGGAGAAAAGCCCGGGAAGGCAACAGTTGTCCTTAAATGATTCATAATCTTAACCGCCTCAACTCACAAGGTGTTCACTAATGCATGTTCATGGCCCCTTTTCTAGCCATTTGCCCATTGCCATGTCGTTCCATCGTCCTCTAACCATGCTCCGCCAGGACAGTACCCGGTCCTGTCATGAAACCGAGCGGTCCTTGACGTCATTCTCGACCCGAGCGGTATAGCCCTCAAACACTCGCTCACGTGAGTGAGGCACCACTAACCCATCACCAACCCGCAGGACGACTACAACGTCATCCTGGTGGACTGGGGCCACGGCTCGACCATCCCGTACCTGCAGGCCACCGCCAACACACAGCTGGTGGGACGGCAAGTGGCGCTGCTGGTGGCGGCGCTGGCCTCGCGTGGCGCCAGCCTCGCCCAGGTCCACCTGGTCGGCCACTCCCTGGGCGCGCACGTCTGCGGCTATGCTGGCAGCCACACGCCGGGTCTGGGCCGCATCACAGGCACGTGCCGTCGGCATCCGCTGCCGCCGCAGGAGGCAGCAGCGAACGGTCGGCTCCGTGGTGCTGAAAGCGGAGCTGTCTGGGCTCATGGAGCAGGAGAGTGTGCCGCGGTCAGGAATCGAACTAAGCAAGGATCGTCATTTTTGCTCCGATCGTAACCGTTTCGTTTATTACAATGTCACTACAAAGATACCATATAACACTACACTACATACCATATAATACCACATAGATGATAATTCGGTGATTAAAATGACGCTTCCATTATAATTTGCTCTACAGTCGGTAGGTATTCTTGCATTGGCGTGATCAGGACTTTTGACGCTGGGCTAGGGCACAGAAAGCGTCATTGCTCTCGTTGGGGGAAGTATTGGAAACACTCCGCATTTCTGTTGGTGTCCATGGGACCTAACCCTAGGCTGCCCCGGGGACCTGACTCCAGGCTTTCCGATCAAGTCTGATGGGACCTGACACCAGGCTGTGCCGTCAGGTCTGCTGGGATATGACTCCAGGCTGTGCCGTCAGGTTTGGACCCAGCGCAGCCCTACTTTGAGAACACGCAGCCGGTCGTCCACCTGGACCGGGACGACGCCGCGTACGTGGACGTGATCCACACGGATGGCCGCGACATTCTGTTCCTCGGGGTCGGCTTCAAGCATGTGAGGCCACTCCCGCTACCACTGCGCGAAGTACTCCAAACTGGGGAGGGCTATTTCTGGGTTGCACTTGACCAGTGGATGACTCGGGTAAAGCAATCCTAGTAGCGGGCAACAAGCGTGCGGTTGCCGTACAGCATCAGCAAAACCAAACATAACAGTGGACACATATTGCCGTGTTTGCAGACACTCGTCTACATCATATTCTCCAGTGGTGTTAAGATCTATGTGATGGTTGGCGGAAAGCTGGCTGTGTGCATCCCAGTGTTCAAGCTGGTAAAACACTGCAGGAAAAGGTAATTGCCCCACCCACCCTGACGCTAGTCTCTAACGTTTGAAGGCGAACGGTGACGTGGACTTCTTCCCCAACGATGGCAAGAACCAGCCCGGCTGTGGCGATTTTGACGCCGAGATTGAAGGCCTAATTTGGGATCTGGAGACCCTAGACTGGCTTGGTGAGTGAGGAGTCCAGTGCCTGATGGCCAGCACCACCGTTTCGACAATGCAAGGGCATGTCATACTTGATGTCGTTGATAATTGCCTTTGTCAAACACATTTTAACGGACTATTTTTAAGCATTCAATAGCGGACCACCCACGCACATTTCAGCTCTTTTTCTCCTCTCGTTTGCTCACGACCTCTGTATCATGAGACCTGACATGTGGCCGGCAGCAATGGGCGGTCAGCTGAGTTGCTCCCACGGCCGTGCGACCGAGCTGTTCGTGGAGGCGCTGCGTGGCCGACAGTGCCCCCTAGTGGGATTCAGGTGTCAAAACTACGACGACTACTTGTCCGTCGACTGTCAGAACATGGCGACCGACAACATGGGCGTCCTTGGCATGGACAGCATCAACTTCAACCTGAGCGGATCCTACTATCTGCAGACATCTCCAGATCCCAACGCCCTGTGCTGTAAGTCTTGTGTCTCGGTTCAAGCTCAATGCGTGCATATTTGCCAACGGCACGGATCGTACCTGTACCCTGATCATGTCAAATGGCTTTTTTGGTAACAAGATGACACCATCCGTTGTAAAACGACGAAAAAACGAGGAATGATGCATGCAACTCATCGCCTAAATGTGTGCTAGGTCCAGCCTGGTCCAGCCACTTGTGCCAAATTAGAGCCGTCTTGCCCTCTCACCAATGGCGTGCCCAGAGGGGTCGGGGAGGGCACGAGGCCACGCTCCTTCCCACCCATTGACACCGAAGAGGCTCATAGGTTCCCAGGAAGCATAACCAACCAAATGAATGTAATTTTTCACACAACACAGGAAGGCTTTGGGCCCCCAGGCGACTAAGATCAGTCACAAGCGAAAGCGGAGGGTCCTTGAGTAGACAAAAATTATTATTCGCTGATTAAGGGGGTAGTGACTGGGGAGATTTTGAGGCTCATTTCGCTGTCCAGAGGCCCTATGCTATTGCCGGGAGTCCCATAAGAACACTTGCCGGGCCTGCTACAATGCTCCTGGGCACTTAATATTAGCTCGTTTCCTCGGAGGACCCTGCGCTGTTGTCCGAAACCCTATATGTTCATTTGCCAACGTACTCTCGATCGCTCGAAGGCATCAGTTAAAGTCGTGGGCTCTTCCAGTTTGCTGGGAAGGCCCTGCGCCCTAATCGGGGCTCTATATGTTCATCCGCCGGGGCTTTTCCAATCGCTCTGGAGCCCATCACACTGATCTTGGGCTTTTCTTGCCTGCTTTGAGGACCCCATACTGTTTCTTCGATGGCCTGCTGCGACACTCTCGGTCCGTTCAGGGGCCATACCTATTGGTTTTGGCTTATCCCATTTTATTTACCCCATTGACGTGGGCCTAACTGTTAATCAGACGGGGCACCCTTGATCGCTCCGGGCCCTCCACATTGGTGAGAGCTCTTCCAACGATGTGAGAAAGATGTCATTATGCTGCGGAAAGCCCCTCACGCGCTTGTGAGCGCCAGGGCGTTTCGTCTGCTCGGGTGCATGGGCTTGGCAAAATTACTTCATGTAAGCAAGTTCGAAATCTTCATGACGACTTTAGCGCAACTGCCGAGCATAGTTTTACGCGCCACAGATGTCGTAGATGTTATTTGCGTTGGTTCTTAAAGTTGCCACACTTTTATACTTGTGTATCACAACCTTAACACATTTCGCTTGCTAGGATATTTTGCACACAATGATAACAACCGAAGCAAAAGCTCCGGAATACCCATCAGCCATCAGCCAACAGCCATCAGCCAACAGCCATCAGCCATCAGCCATCAGCTGGTGGCATCCACTAGCCGGCTAGCCGCGGAAAGCTGCCTAGCCGTAAATAAGTTTGGAGTCAAGTGTTGTGCTTGATTTTGATGGTGTTTAGCAGCCAACTTTACCTCATTCTACGAACGTTTTCTGAAATGTTTAGCTTGAAAATGACAGGATCCACCATGATCCGGGGAAAATGACAGGATCCACCATGATCCGGGGAAAATGAGCGCATTCCATGTACGGACATCCACGCACCACGCTTAGTTTTCTAGGGCGGCACACAGGAAAATGGGTTCTCGTATAGCAACAAGCATGCTCAAGAATTTCCACATCTAATAGCCGGAAGATGATTTTTTGAGGGGGCTCCAAACTCCAAGGGGGCACGAAGTATTGCGTGTCTCGCTTGACGAAATTCCAGACCCACAACTGCCTCTCACTCATGACAGCATTGCTATTGACAATAGCCAAGAAATGAGAGCGTCAAAAGCAAGTCGGACTTATCGACTCGACTATCGCGAGATAGCGAGAGAGAGAGAGAGCGCGAGAGAGAGAGCACGCGCGGTGAGCGAGACGCAGAGAGAGAGAGAGAGAGCGCGCGAGCGCGCCGCGACCGAGAGAGCGCGAGACGAGGAGGGAGAGAGAGAGCGCGGAGCAGCTAGCGAGCGAGCGAGCGGCATCCTAGATCAGATATCTCTACTCTCTCTATCTATATCTCTCCTCTCTCTCTCTCTCTCTCTCTCTCTCTCTCTCTCTCTCTTCTCTCTCTCTCTCTGATCTCTCTCTCTCTCTCTCTCTCTCTATCTCTCTATCTCCTATCTATCTCTCGTCTATCTCACTGTAGTTCAAAATTCCATGACTACGATCTGCTACACACGCAACAATCTCGCACTCGCTTTTCAGTGAATTATTTCGAGGTCTTCATAGAGCTGAACGAGGACCAGGAAGAGACCCTGGGCAACATGGTGTTCGTGCTCAATGGCAAAAACAACAGCTCAGACCGTATAACGGGCTGGAGGTAAGATGGCATTGATGATGCCATGATGATCGCTGAGAAGGTCTTATCAGGCACTGTGTCAGAAGTCCGCGCAGCTAAGTCCATCATGGATCTTTGGTCTTCCAGTGGTGACGAATGTCTTGCACAATGATGTGTGACATTCATTGTCATGTAACACCTGAGCAGTGAAGTATGTGAGCACCCGGTCGCAACTGCACCAGCTCTGACCAGTCTGACCTTTCTCCGCGTGAGCCCGTCGCCCATCTCCCACCCCCAGTTAGTACCCCGAGCGCGCTCCTGTTCGCCGCCAGAGACCACCTGGCGCCCTGACACCACCCTCTGACGTCTGAACCCCCTTCGCGTGAGTCCCGTCACCCGCCACTCCCAACCCCCCTCCCTGTCACCACCTCTGAGGGCGCCCCTGTTCGCCACCAGAGACCACACGGCGATCCCGGCTGGGGGCGAGCTGCACACGACGCTGCACACGCGTGCCGAGCTGGGCGCACTGCGCTCCGTCCAACTCACCTACCACGACCACCACGGCACGGCGCAGCGGATGCTGAGCGCGGCGGCGCTGCGGGCGCGCACCGTCGACGCCCGGCTTCAGACCAGCACCGTCCGGCTCTGCTGGGACGGTGGCCCGCTCGCCGACAAACACACTGCCACCTTCACGCCATGCCCGTGACGTCACCGGCGCTGATGTTGACCTCACTGGTGCCGCCGGTGACGTTGTAGCTCGTGTTTGCGGTGTCACTGCGGCTTGCTAGGTGGTGTTACCACGCCTTGCCAGTCACGTCGCCACGCGCTGCCCCTGACGTGGTTGGCTTCAGTAGCGAAGCATGCAGGATGTCGTGACGTCATGCTGCACGAAGCTGGTGACGTACTCTGCCCAGGAGAGGTGGAAATGGAGGAACGATCCAATTCAAGCGCCACCTTCTGCGATCCAGTTTGAATAAAGGACGTGGATGACATGGAAATAAACGCCGTAGTGATAGCTCATTGTTCAATCCAGAATTATTGCACTTCTCACTCGATTTTTTCTTATATAAATATTGCAGCAATCTTCCAGATAGAGAATGAGTATCTCCAGCGGCAAGCATCGTGGACTCGAACCCTACTTCCGAATAAGATGTCACTTGAGGTCGCCGAAAAAGACCGACTTGGTTAACATGCGTCGCGAGAACAGCCAAACGGACAAACCGCCCGAGTTACGTCTGAGCACGAGCAATTCACTTCACGTTTATTTCTACTTGAAACACCCTCCGTCGTCGCCTCCTGTCATTACATTAGGTGGCCCAGGGTGGGCCCACGCTACTATCAGAGACGACGTTAAGCCCCGAGCTCTCTGATACCGCTATGCAATTACTACGTGACTCGGTCGATCGAGGGATAAGGCCGCAACAAATACCGCGTCCAAACCGGCCTCAATCTCGCCGCTCGATGATGACTTCTCATCAGACCGGCGGTAATCTCGGGAGGGGACCGGGGGCCGGCCGGGGACCGCTTCAGTGTCCGGCCGTGTCTGGATGGGCGCTGGTCTCGCAGGTCCACCAGACGGGCCGCAGACTGGGGCCGAGGTCTGGCACGCGCGTGGTCAATCGCCAATCATCCGAGTACCAACAGCTATGCTGAAAGAAACGGAAATGTGGTTCAAGAGCCTCAGGCAGCAGGATCAACCGCTTTCACCTCCCAAAAGGTAAGAATAGGAGAGAATTGCCAGGTTAGTCCGAGAACTGTTGCTGGCACGCTGGCACGCATATATATATATATATATATATATATATATATATATATATATATATATATATATATGCATATGACATATGCGCGTGTGTGTTTATGCGTTTTTGTGTGTGCTTGAGTGTGTGCGTGTGTTTGTGTGTGTGTGTGTGTGTGCAAGTTGTGTTATACGAGAGGAGAAATGAACATGTAATCAGTTCGTTTCGCGTTTGCTTGATTGTTCGAAGTAAGTCCTTCGTTGTTTTCGATAAGTCTTGAATCAGCTCGCCTATAGTTATCTATATTAGTTTAAGCTAGCTAGCGTTTCAAGAAATTTCTTTCCCACTCTCAAAGCAGTGTAAAATAGTCGGACGGAAAACTTCGAAATAGGATGAAATACGAGGCACGCTCTACGAGACATAATCGAAGGTGAACCATGAGTTCACCTCCGTTCACCATCACAGATAATCCTCCCGAAAATCAGGTCAAATTACAAAACACATACAAGCATACATACAGCATTTTTTTCAGCCAGTTTGATGCCATAACAAGTTTAAGACAGTGAATCACCCTGCTGCCATTGGGTGACTGAACAGGTCCAAAGTGATGCATGACCTGAGCTGTCTGTTTAAATATTCCAACTATGCAAGCGCTGGTTTCTTTCATAAACGTTTATCGTATTAAGAAAGACTGCGCTTTTGGATGTTGCCTATCGTTCGTTTTTCTAATAGTGTTGTCAACCTGTCATTTCACGCATTACACATGTTCTCTTTTCAAAAAGACTTAAAACTGTCTGAAGGACTTCAAACGTCTGTTTGACGGTAACTGCTACCTGCGTGCAGATTCTAAGAATGCACGTTTTTAGCAGGCTATATGATTTTTTGAAATTGTGCGAGCGAGAAAGGCTTTGAGCTCCCGGTTTTCTACTATTGTGAGTTCATCATTTTTATATTGACTGTTAGAGACTTTCAGTATGCCAGGAGGCGCTGGTTGGCATTGGTTATATTTAACATGAACTATAGTCACTTGATAATATCATTTGACTAATGCCTACCGGTTTACTGAAGATCGAAGGTATCCCTGGTTTACTATTAACTGCCAGCATAAGAACTCTGACTAAAATTTCCGATAATTGATATTTCATGTCCCTATCCCTTCTCTTCAGTGTGGAGTAACCTGATCCTTTTGCCACAAGCACCACGTCAGCGCTATTTTACACTTCTAACGCTAACTCAATATGTATTCGTCGAATGCGGTAATTTTGTCCATCAGAAAACGTTAGAGATATTGCGATGTTTAGTCATTCTCCTTCTGACTACTTGAAGTCAATATGAAATGCGTAACCGAAGGAGACACGAGTAAACGGTGGTAAACGGCCGCCTCCGGTGGTCGTGTTTGGCCGTGTGCCGGTGAGTTATAGGAGGTGCTGGTCGCTGTCCCGCTCCCCGCCCGCGGCTGTGTTCAGCGGTGTGCCGGTGAGCTACAGGAGGTGCTGGTCGCTGTCCCGCTCTCTTCCGGAGTTGACTGGAAACACGGAGGATGCAGTGAGAGCCAGACAGTGCTCGCAGGAAAGCCGACTGCGCCGCAGGTGAGGACGGCTTATGGCGCCAGCTGGCCACGCCAGTATTGATAAAGCTTACCTTGACACCATCCGAACTGAGCTGGGGGTGGGGTGAGAGAAGGGGGAGTGGAGGGGGAGCTGGCCAGAATGCCGCAACCTAACCGCAAAACACGCCAGCAAACGGTCTCACCATGTATTTGGTCACTTTCTTCTCAACTTGAGGGGTCTAAAGCACAACTGTGCAGAGGAAAGTCAGGAAGTCGCGATCTGAATGGGAGATTGCATCCCTATCTGTTGCACATATTTCATTCACTGACAAAGTTTGCCACGGGCAACCGTTTTTTCTTTTTTTTGTCATCAGGGAACAATAATGGGTGATGTTACGAGGGTGTGAAAGAAATTGCCCCAATTTGCACCAGCGCCAAAGTATCATGTGAAGTTACGCCAGTACCTAAATTGGGTTGTTTAAACTGCATTGACACTATATTTGTTGTAAAAGTACTATTTATTCATTGCAGGCCTTTCATCACTGCAGGTCCAAAATTTGACCATTGAAATATACATTTTGACAAGCAACGTCTCACCATGCGGTAATGAATGCTACTGAAGTAATACTAAATTTGAACGTTGTTACATTAATTGGATGACATAGCAAATAATATATCCCATGACTTTCTGCATGCCCTGAACGCATCGTGGATGGTTCTTTTGACGTTTCTTTCTGTCCCCATGAATCATAAAGACTTGCCTGGCCATGCGGAAAAATATCCCCTCTGCGGTGCTCCAACACCACTTTTCGTGTTCAAACCGTCTTCAAGAGGAAAATGGGATCGACAAAATAACGAAGTAATTCTACAGCCAACGCAGAACTATTCTGACGCATTAAAAAAAAGTTGACCTCCACTGTAATAGGGCGCTGAAGCCGTAGCACAAAGCTGCGCACTCAAATTTTCCCACCTAGAGCGGAATTTTCATGATCTAATCATTTTTCGATTTATAAGTGGATTTCAGCATGATCCCCACGTGGCTAAACTGAACGGCTTTCTAAAATCCGTGGTATGACTGTGTGCCCAGTTGGTGCCGGCCGAAGCTACCGTAGTAGCTCCCTGCCGGTGAGGGCAGGTGCCCTGCCCTCGGCACCAGGTGTGCGTCAGCAGTCTCGGTGCCATGAGACCCGAGCCACGCGTGCCCACCCACGCTGTTTAATCAACACCGCTTATCAGCTGAAGCCGCGCCCACACTGCTAGAGTCCTTTAGTTCGGCGTGGTACTTTTCTTCTTCACAAGCGTAAATAAGTTGGTCTTTTTACGGGTATCGCGAAAATACCGCCAGTCAGCACCTCATCATGACTGCGCTACGACGCACCCACATCAACTGAGAGTGCCACTGAACTTTCAATCCATCCCAAACCCACCAACGCAGATAGTATGACCTCGACGTCGGCCACCGGCAGGACGGTCGAGGTGCAGCGTCAGCTGGCCGCGCTAGCTGAGCAAGGTCGCCAACAGGCGGCGCTGCTGCAGCGGCGCCGCCAGAGGGCCACCGATGTCCAGCGCTTCCTCCAGCAGCCGGTCACCGCACTGCGTGAGTGGCCGCTCGACCGCCGCCTGTCAGCGATGACCGCCAGCGTCAGCTCGACTGTCAGCGATGACCGCCAGCGTCAGCTCGACTGTCAGCGATGACCGCCAGCGTCAGCTCGACTGTCAGCGATGACCGCCAGCGTCAGCTCGACTGTCAGCGATGACCGCCAGCGTCAGCTCGACTGTCAGCGTCAGCTCGACTGTCAGCGTCAGCTCGACTGTCAGCGTCAGCTCGACTGTCAGCTGACGTCAGCTCGACTGTCAGCTGACGTCAGCTCGACTGTCAGCTGACGTCAGCTCGACTGTCAGCTGACGTCAGCTCGACTGTCACCTGACGTCAGCTCGACTGTCAGCTGACGTCAGCTCGACTGTCACCTGACGTCAGCTCGACTGTCAGCGTCAGCTCGACTGTCAGCGTCAGCTCGACTGTCAGCTGACGTCAGCTCGACTGTCAGCTGACGTCAGCTCGACTGTCACCTGACGTCAGCTCGACTGTCAGCGTCAGCTCGACTGTCAGCGTCAGCTCCACTGTCAGCTGACGTCAGCCTCGACTGTCAGCTGACGTCAGCTCGACTGTCAGCTGACGTCAGCTCGACTGTCAGCTGACGTCAGCTCGACTGTCAGCTGACGTCAGCTCGACTGTCACCTGACGTCAGCCTCGACTGTCAGCTGACGTCAGCTCGACTGTCACCTGACGTCAGCTCGACTGTCAGCGTCAAGCTCGACTGTCAGCGTCAGCTCGACTGTCAGCTGACGTCAGCTCGACTGTCAGCTGACGTCAGCTCGACTGTCAGCTGACGTCAGCTCGACTGTCAGCGTCAGCTCGACTGTCAGCGTCAGCTCGACTGTCAGCGTCAGCTCGACTGTCAGCTGACGTCAGCTCGACTGTCAGCTGACGTCAGCTCGACTGTCAGCTGACGTCAGCTCGACTTGTCAGCTGACGTCAGCTCGACTGTCAGCTGACGTCAGCTCGACTGTCAGCGGTGGACGTCACGTGGGGACCAACAGCTGGTCTCAGAGACTTGAGAACGAACCTCAAGTGTGATGGACTGGAACTTTTTGAATTATTTTATTTCTTTTTGAATTATTTCTTGAATCACCATGAGGTCAGGCTGAAGGGATTTTCAAAAGGGATTTTCTAAGGGGACTTTTTCGTTCACATTTGATGATTTTAAAGCAAACATCAGATGTGATGAAATAAGCTCACATGTAACCATTGGTACTTTTTTGTTGCACCTTTAAGAGGAAAAAATTGCTTTAGACTACACAAATTTCATGTTTAGTGAATGTGCTCCTTAATACGTCATGGAGCACAGCAGCCCCACCAATAGCTCAGTAAAATTTAAGTGCGATGAGCAATCCTGATTACGCTATCGTGCCATGTAAAGCATTGATTGAGGGCCAGTTGACGGCCGTTGTGTTTAAAAATCGCGCTTACTAACGCCAGATATGATCGACTCGACAATTGTACATTTCTTGGCTTTGATTGCTGCATGATTCATGGAATGATAGGATTTTGATGACGTTATCATGGTGTCATGAATGCCTGGTTGACCTTGAAATAGTCTCCCTGAAACAGTCTGCACGTCTTCGCGAGCGGATGTAGATAACGGTGCAGTAGCTCAGAAGCTTAAAGGGGTTTATGTCTTAAGGAGGGCAGGGCTATGAACTGCACCGAATGGTCTTCGAGATGGCCGTTTCAGTTCAAGACCCACATACAAATGAAGAACACTCCCTGCAAAATTTCACAAAATTGATAACGTCAGACCCCCGTCCCACTTCTACGGATATCGTTGACGTCAATGAGTTAAAGGGAGTGTTGCACATTTGTATGGAGTCTTGAACTGAAATTACCATTTTGAAGGCCTTTCGGTGCTGTTGACAATCCTGCCCTTCCTAACGCGTATGTCCATAGGTCACGTGATGGCCAGGCTGCCTCCATATGTCCCGCACGGTCAGGGAATGTTTCAGATTTGTATGGGGTTTTGAACTGAAATACTCACCTTGAAGCCCTTTCGGTGCTGTTCACAAACCTGTCCTTAAGACCTAACCCCTTCTAGTTTCTGAACAATACGCCCGCGAAGGTGGGAAAAGGCATACCGGGGAGATTATTTCAGTCACATTGGCATTCATGACGTCATATTAACGTCATTAAAATCCTGTCATTCTCTAACCCATGCAAACAGGCCACGCATAAGGCCAAACAAATATAATTGTCGGGGCGTTCATGTCTGGTATTCTTGAGAACAATTTTCAGATATAGCGGCCGTTAATTGGCTTTCAATCAATGTTGTGGAGCTTGCAATGACATAATCAAACAATGACGCATTGAGGAGCATATTTACTAAACAGAGGGTTGTGCTGTCTAGAGCAGTCGTTTCCACTTACATAGTGTACCAATAGTATTCAGTGAAAGTGTTTCATCATATCTGATGCTCGTTGCAATATATTCAAATGTGAAGCATTTCCTTTAAGTGATGTAATGCGAAATTGAAAGGTAGGCCTCTGGTCAGGGTGGTGACTAATGAGCCATATCGCACATGAACTGGTGATCATGACTGGATGAACGCGAAATGCCGCCGTCAAAAGATAGACTGCTCCGCAATGCTACTCTGTCCGGCGGGTTGGACTAACTGGTGATTCGTTTGTGAAGCACGCCGCCGCAGACAATCAGGTGTAAACACCGCCAGACTGCTGGCTTGTGGCCAGATTGCTATTAAAAATACACGCGCGCCGAGCATGATGGGAGAAGCGGCGAGGTCCTGGCAGCAATTCCAGTGCATACACGTCGTAAGTCCGAGCGCTCCGAGCTCGGCGTTTGGGCGGCACCAGTGTCGGTGCATTGAAAACCGATGTTTCAAGATATTATGATATTGTAGCCTTAATTTAAAGCGGAAACAGCATATTTTCAAGAACTAATTAAAAAAGCGGCATGATTTGACTTTAACCTGAGTTCGGCGAACGTGTGCACCAGGTTAAGCGCACCGATGTCGTTTGACGTAGGCGTGCAGTACGGTGAATATTTTTTGGTAGTCTGGGCTCGTGGCTGCTACGGCGGAGCTGACCCAGAATTAGCCTCTGTTCGCGGTACGTACACGAGCTACATAAGCACGTACGCATGGACGGTATCGTGGGAGGTGTACTGGGAGTGTTGTCCCGTGACGTAGCTCAAGTCGTCAAAATTGTAGCCTTTTGTCATCTCCGCGTGCAGTTCGCACCACCAAACACGTGTTCTGAAACTCGCAAGGCCGTTGCCTACTTATTTTCGTGAACTTCGGGCATTATGATCTGTGGGAATACCAACAGATCGGTGCCAACTATGATCATGTATTCAAATAAGACTAAAAAGAACACGATCATGCTGCACTGGGTCGGCTCGGCTGCATGGATGGTTGACAACTGCTTGGTATAGAACATGAAGTGTTTTTCTTATATGCCCTATAGGCACAGGAACAAGGATTTCCGTGGGTGTCATGCAGCGCCCGCTGGGATGTCGGAGCTCAGCGTGCGCTAACGAGAATACTGGGCCTTATCCCTACGGTGATGCGTGGAAAGAGTAGACTTAAGAATGCACCAAAATGACAGCCACTTTTTGAGCCCTTCCTACGCCTATGGACTTCCCCAGTAATATTTCGTTGATCAAGATCCATGCACCGAATAATGCGGCTCCACTGGTCTTACGCAATCCTTCTCAAGATGCTTGATATCTAGTGCGTGTGGTAATCTGTTTCTAGTAACCATGTGCTCGTCTTGTTATTGCACCCACGAACAAAATAAGTGTCCTCTTTACTGTACATATTTCCCTTATATGAATATGGTGTGCTTTCATCAGTTGATGGATACCATTGACGCTTGAAATCGTCTTTTCACAGCGTTCATGCGTCGTGATCACCGAGTTCCGACATCCGAACCGTGAGTGATCCCTTATTTCCGACCGCTATCGCCGAAAGAACACTTATATCAAGCGTTTGCATTTCCACAAGATATTCTAGCTCTTGGAAAGATTATGGAATAGCAAGGATGGTCAAAAGCTGGTGCTTAGTCCGAGAGCCACTCCAGTCTGACCCGGTGCCGCTCTCCCGTCACGCCGCCGACATTAACTTGATCACAGATGGCACCACCAGCCGAGGCTGATCGCAGATGGTACCACCAGCCAAGGCTGATCACAGATGGTACCACCAGCCGAGGCTGATCACAGATGGTGCCACCAGCTGAGGCTGGCCGGGTGACGCGCTCTGCGTTACAGCGCGCACGGCTGTCCCGGCCCGGAGCCGGCGATCCAGTCGTCCCCAGCGGCCTGGTGGTGCAGCGAGCCGGAGCTGTGCCGCACTCTACGCGACCTGCTGCCGCCGTCACGCCGCGACCTCAGCCCGGGCCGGCCGCGCCGCGCGGCCCGAGACCTCGAGCGGCCGCCGCCGCCGCCGCCGCCGAACAAGGGCATACTCAAGAGTTCGTCTCGGGGGGCGACTGCAGGCCGTCAGGCTGTCGGTGTTTCGGGGCGTCAGGTTCTGGGAGCGTCAGGGTGTCAGGATGTCGGGGTGTCTGGGTGTCATTGTGTCGGAATGTCAGAGTGTCAGGCTGTCGGAGTGTCAGGATGCGAGACCATTGGGGTGCCAGAGGGTCGGTGTGCCAGGGTGTCAGGTTGTCAGTGTGTCGGAGTGTCAGGGTGTCAGCACCCCTGTGGCGTCGACGTCGCGTGTCAGGCTAACTGCGGCCACCCGCCGGACCGGTCCTCCTGGAGTGCCGAGGACGGCGGAGATCCGCCGCGACCCGTGCCCAGCCACGGCGGCTGTCCGCGCCCGGCTCACGTCGCGTTGGTGGAGCGAGCGATGGTGGCGGTGGAGCGACCCATGGCGGCGGTGGAGCGACCCATGGCGAGAGTGGAGCGCCCCCTGACGGCGTTAGCCGGCGACCGCTGCCGTCACCTCAGCTGCCCGGAGTCGGAGCCGGCCGACCAGCTGAGCGTTGTCGGCCGCTCTTCAGTGTTAAATGCCCGCAACAGCGGCGCCGGCGCCGGTCCTCACACCAATAAGAGGGTGGTTTTCGTCGATCTCCGCTTCTCTCAGCGGTCCGAGAGCGCCGGGGACGGTGGTCCGCGCGCTCAGGTAGGGGCGGACGGGGTTGGCGAGGGGCAAGCTGATGTGTCTCGTGCTGGGGCGGTGGACAAGCAAGATGAAGACCACTCCCGGAGCCCGATCGCTAAACGCAGCGGCGCTGTGCTGCAGGAGCCTTCAAAGGCTGAGAAGCCCAAGCCACCTGATGAGGACCTTGCGAAACTTTCTGAAGGAGAGAATCACGACGGTTTGGTAACTGACCGGTCCTTGTATGCTGAACGAGAAGCGCCGGCATCTCGTGAGAAAAAGCGCCATTTGACCTCCGAGAGAGGTGCTGTTGAGCATGCTCAAGACGCGCAGGGGTCTTTTGAATGCGGACTTGACTCTAGGTTAGACGTTAGCCTCAAAAAAGAAGACGTGAAGTGTTCGGAACAGACCGTTGAAAGCACATCAGCAGATTGTGTAGATATCAAAACATGCCACACTTCCCCTTCCCCTACCGCCAACAACGATGCGTGCGATAAAAGTGAGACGAGCTTTCAGGTATCGCAAAAACAGCCTGAAACCCATCGGCCTGATGGCCCGAGCACCGGCGTGATAGTAAAAGAAGGCTCCAGTTGTGGGGGAGCGCCCGAAAACACCCAGCAAGGAGATACCGCCCCCGAAGACATCTCGGATCCCAGGGCGTTTTTCATCGATTTTACGGCGGGTAATGCTTGCGTGATCCGACCCCTCCCTGAGCGGTCTGAAGGCTTTCGAGTCAACAGAACTCTGCTGCTTCGCAAGCTTCGGAGCCAGCAGAAAATCAGCAATGATGGACGGAGAGGGGACGCATGGAATTTACCGCAAAAGCCACGAAACAGAAATTCGATTAGATCGACAGGCATGACAAATGTGGGGAAGCTGGTCGACATTTTCCGCCGCCATCATCCCAATGTGAGCAGCGTTTGTCTGCCTGTCTCAGCCAGTGTCTATAGGCGGTTGTCACCAGGTGTCATGGCCAGCCGCGAGGCATGTGCTACCCGCAGTGGTGCGTGCAGACCGCTTGAGACTCATTGCCGTCCGACTCTCCCTCAACAGCAGCCGAGGTGTCGTGTCGTTCAACCCGATCACGCCGGCTTAGATTTCAGCGAGGTCGCTGGCTCAACACGGGGAACGAAATCGAGGATGGTGCCCCCCGATAATCGATCAAGTACGGTGCCCTCCACTTCGCCTGTTCCTAGAGAGGCGCACGGCGAACATCTCACATACCTTCAGCGCGTCAATAGTGAAGCGGGCAGGACAGCCAGGGGACCCTCCAATGGCCCTGGTGGTGATCGTAATTCTGGTGAAAGTGTATTTTCCAGGCCGGAAATTCTACCGACTGCTATGAGCTATGAAGACCAGGCCAAACGCACCTGTTGTCACAGCTGTGCTTATACACACTCGGACTCCGGTAGTGTTGTCATGACGTCAGCTCCCATCAGCTGTCGTGAGCCAGCCGTGCCACCTCTTGACAGCATTCAGGGAACGTCGGCCGCTTATGCAAGAGACGGCGAAGCAGGGTCAGTTTCGGATCCCGTTACCTGCAGTGTACCGTCCGTCTCAGCCGTAAGCGGTGTGAAGCCGATTCGCAACGTAGCCGGCAGCGCCAACGTCAAACGTGAGGTCGGCAGCGCCAACGTCAAACTTGAAACCGGCTATCGCGACCATCCAGTGGTAAGCGACAAGCCTGTCCCTCCGACGTCGAATGCTGAAAATACCGACTCGGATCACCCCCCTAAAGCCGGAGTGGAGCACGCCCCATCGCCGGCTTCGTCATCCCAGACCAGCTGTGCAGAGACCTTCCCAGCCATGCTCGGCCGTGCCAAGGGCGACAATGGGGCCCCCTGCCGGGCGAGTCGACGGATAGGGATGTGGTCGTTGTCCAGCGACAGTCTGCAAAGCCCCGGGCTCCGTGGTGCAACCGGCTCGGCTGTGTCCCTAGCGGAAGATCACCGCCCGCCCCGAGCTGGCCCTAGCGAGCCGCCCCGAGCCGACCCGGGGGTGGCGGCGGCCCAGCGGCCGCGGCCCGGCACACCGCGCCTCGTCGCCCCGCCGCTAGGGGCCCTGACGTCGCGCGGTGCCGCGGCGCAGACGGTGGCACCGGCGGAGCGGGGCGCGGGCGAGGCGAAGAACTGGACGAGCCTGACGCTGGTCTCGCCGCAGGACATGGAGATGACGCTCTCACTGACGACGCACTTCCCCAGCATCGCCGGCAGACGCAGAGCCACGCACCCGCGGCCGGCGAGGCGGGTCGAGGCCGAGGTAAGGACCTAGTGGAAATCCGTGGACCGCTAGCCTTCCCCCACCTCCCGTGGAGCCACCTCCCAAGCCTTTAATAGGAGGAACGCTCACTTGGCTTAAACCACTCAAAATTAAGCTGGTCACATGCCTGATGGTTTTTAGCTCAAATACTTATTTCCGAAACAACTTGAATGCTCCTAGCAGCCACCGGCACATACACACGACGTCAAATCATACTCCGTTTGCGAATACCGCGTGCGACGTTCATGCAGTGTATGAAATGTTAACATCATCACCGATTGATCCAACACTGATACTCCGTCCCAGGAGTCTTCAAGCGGGGCGGGTCCGGCGGAAAAGCGCTGATCCGGCCCCGACGACACACCGTCCGATCCACCAGCCTGCTGCCGGGCCGCCCGGAACGCGTCTTCGGCGCACGAGAGCGTGGACAGGCTCGGACACCCCAGGAGTGCACTGCGGCTCGCCGTCCTGACGACAGGCCGGCCGACCGCCGGAAGCGCCTCCCAGACAGCAGCGGTCGGTGGAGCACGGCGGCGTCACGCAGCAGACGCCAGCGATGCCGTGCTGTCTGGGACAGGCTGACCAAGCGCCGGAAGCGTCTCCCAGACAGCAGCGGCGCCCGGCCGGCGGAGCGCGGCGGCGGCACGCAGCAGACGCCAGCGATGCCGTGCTGTCTGGGATAGCATTGACACGCTGCGCCGGCCATTACGTACATCACGCATTTGGCTTGCAGCCGCGCCACGTCGGATGTCATCTGGGCTAATCTCGGTTTATTGGTCTCTATAATTTCAGTTGGATCCAAATACTTTACTTCGCAGGTTTGAGACTGATCAGTACGCACTGCCATGTAAGCTATAGCGACGTGTTCTGACCATTCTGTGTTGGGATTAGGCGAAACGATGACGATAGTTGAATGAGTTCCTTTTCGGAATAGCGAGGCGCAAGTCAACGTGCTTTTTGTGTTGTACCTAAGGCTGTGTTGTTCGAATGCCGCCCCGATGAACGTTGTTTTTCTCGATGAATGGCCTCCCCACTATCCGAAAGATACACACGTAGTTTTATGAACGAGGTGAAAATTGCATTGCTCAGCTGCACCAAAATACACTTATGTGATATGCAATGGCTGTTACGCACGGTGTTAAGCGCATTTGCGAGGAACGTTAAGCACATATACAAGACGGTCTCCATAGTTTCATTCCTCGTAGAACAAACAACTAGGACAACGTAGATACAAATGTGTTGATGTTTCGGTAACATGCTTTTACCGAAACTAATAGCAGAAGTAACGTCACAATTATCTGGCAATGATCCTATTCGATTTTTCTTTTTTTTGTGAAACAATAAGCCACAATTTTTACAGGTCACCAACATTCAGGGGATTAAACAAGGAGCAATTGCCAGCCATTACTACGATACAGTGCACATTTACCTAAGAATAATCACGCGCGAAAAATACGTGTACATGCAAACAAAGTCAAGTAAACAGGTACCACGCATCACGCTTTATCAAACATGCAAACGGGTTCAAGTAACCAGGCATCACACATCACGCGCAAATTGTGCATGCAAACTATTTCAATCAAACAGACCTTGCACATCACGTGCCAGGCACCACTTATACATGCAAGCGATTTTAAGCTAGCAAGCAACACACATCAATGTAGATATCACGTTCACATAATCGGCCATGATGAGTCCTGGACGTTAAGGTCCGGTCGCCGACTTTTCATAAGAATAGATTCCCTTATTTTCCTGTCTGGGCGGTCCTGTGCTCTCTAGATTACCTTGAGCTCTAAAAGGGGCATAGGGTCCATACCTCCCTGGATTCCAGCCTGAGCGTGTTTTGCCAAAAATAGTCACTGAAAGGAGGTATTGGCACCTTTTAGTTAAGTTTTGTTTTATTTTGTTTTCAGTGTCTCGCAGGTGTTCGTTACATCTCAAGCGAATAGAGCGCATGGACTCCACGACATGAATTATGTTCCTCCCATGTTTTTTCACACAGTTTACATTTGATTTCGTACGCCACCTTTTTGCGTGCAAACGTCTTGAAAACCAGACTTGCATGAATGAAAGTCATTACTTCTCTGCCACTTAGGCGTCAAGATAGAATATTTCGCCGGGCTTTTAGGCTTATTGTCGTTCTTCCAATTTATGTGTACGCGCAGTCTTGATTTTCCGACGATATGTTTCGTTTTTCAAAGCGAGTGCTCATTTCTGTAAAGTAACGTTAAGAATCTCAAGGATATTTTCTAAGCTACATACTTCGACGATTATGCTACAGTATAGACGCACGGACAGCGCGCCCTTGAATAATTTTTAGAGTTCATAAACAACGAGCATCAAAATTTTTCCTTTACGAGAGAGCATATAGGGGACAGAAAGGGGTTTCATGTTTAGATACACTAGTGACGGTGGAAGGGAGGAATAATCACGCAACGTTAGAAACGGGGTTCTTTTTCAAGTTAAGCAACCCTGGTATAATTCTGTACTGCGAACCTGTGTGTCCAACGTCCACTAAGCAAAGTATAAGTCGTAACGTGTTCCATAGGGCTCTAAACAACTCATCAAGTAGTGAAAAGAAAAGAAAGAGCATAAACAACATATGTGCTTTGCTGTTGAGCTATGTGTATTCTCCGCGACTTTTAGGTATACTGTCGGAAAAAATCCAGAGCGCATGGGAATGGGTAGTAGCAGGCGGGAACACGCCCCATCGGACGGCGGATTCTTAGCGCTACCTTACATAGATGAGCACTTGCTCCGGAAGATCAAACATATCGTTAGAAAATCAAATCTGCGCGTACGCATGGCATGGCAGAATAATAATCAGCGAAACAAGCCTCTGATGACGTTGTCTGTCCCGAAGCCCAAGTGGCAAGGTGGCGATAGATGTCATTTATGCAAGCCTGGGTTTCAATGGTTTGTACGCAAAAAATCGAGGTTTACGAAATTAAGTGCAAACTGTGTGAAAAACATGGGAGGACATAGTCTATGTCGAGGATTTCATGCGCCTTATTCGTTTGACATATAATGGACACCTGCGAGGTGCTAAAAAGAAGACAGGAAATAACCCTTTTCGGTGACTTTTCCCTTTTTCTCTTTTTTTAGGCAAAATACGCCCAGGCTGAAACCCAGAGAGGTATGAGCCCAACGCCCCTTTTAGAGCCCAAGGTAATCAACAGAGCACAGGATTATCCAGACAGAAGAGTAAGTGAATCTATTCTTATAAAAAGCCGGTGACCAAACCTGAACGTTCCGGCCTCATCATGGCCGATTGCGCAAAGGTTTGAATGAAGCGGGATGCGTGATGCCTGTTGGCTTGAATCCGTTTCCATGTACACGCATTTTTGGCGTACTCTAATTCCTAGATAGATATGCACTGTATCGTGGTAATGGCTGGCAACTGTTCCTTTTTCAATCCGCTGACTGTTGGTGACCTGTAAAAACTGTAGCTCTGTTTCACAAAAAAATGAAAAATCGAGTACGATCATCGGCAGACAATTTTGAATTTACGTCTGCTAGCCGTTTTGGTAAAGGCATGTTGCCGAAATATCAACTCATCTATATCCCCATTCTCCTGTTCTTTTTTTGCGCGCGCGGGATAAAGCTATGACTACTGTCTTACAATGGTTATTTGTGATCTGAAGTGTCCTCGTATATAGGTGTCTCAGCTATCAGATATGAAAATGCACATTTCGATGATCCCCGAAAACACCCGTATTCTGGTGCGGCCCCAGACCATTCCAAGCCTGGGGATGCATCAGGGCCCGTTCCAGACATATATCGACCTTCTCACGTAGACGACACGGAACTGTGAAGGACCGCTTATCATATTCGGACCCTCCCAAAGCAAGCGCTTGCGGTGACCATGTCAGCGGCGTAGGCACACGAGGCGCTGGCTCTACAGCAGCAATGGGCCCATGGTTCACGCCCAGGACACCGCTGTCGCCGCATGGGACCAGCGCTCGTAAACGACTGTTGCGTGCAGCTGTCTGCGAGCGAGATCATTCGCGGTGCAGCACGATCCGTGCGCGTCCCTTCTCTTGAGTACGCCACAAACCATCGCGTGACGCTCTCCCTCGATGAGAGTGCCCATGGTCATACGTTACGCGTGCTGAGGTGCCACGGCGGTGCGCAGCGGGAGCGTCCGTGGTCTCCGCTGTCGCCGGGGATTATACGTCAGTTTCATGTCCCATGCCACGTGAGGGGGCCTCACGGCGGCGCGCAGCGGGAGCGTTCGTGGTCTCCACTGTCGCCGGGGATTATACGTCAGTTTCATGTCCCATGCCACGCGAGGAGGCCTCACGGCGACGCGCAGCGGGAGCGTTCGTGGTCTCCACTCTCGCCGGAGATCATACGCGGGTCTCATGTCCCATGCCACGCCAGGGCGCGATAGGGCCCACACCGACTGTGTTCCGTACCGTGCGGAGGTAGATAATCGGCACTGCAGGCAGGTTTACACGTCCACAGGACATCCGACTTAGCACCGGTTAACCAAGCTGGGTTTGCATATAAGCGAACTCAAACCGTAAATCAAGCCCTAAGCATCCTGAAGAAGAACAAAATGAACGCCAGCGTGACCATCGCGGGTGTATTGCGTATTTTACCATTCCACATGTGCTCAGCTTTATCAACATGTTTGTCCAAGAGCTTTTCCAGCTTCCTCAGTCCCGAGCGGGTGAAATACATAACACACGATCATGACAGCGCCCAAAACACCAAAAGTGTCCCGGGTAGCAGCCCGTCTGCATCGACGCCCTCAAAAGCGAACTGCCACCGCTGCGACAACGTCAGGCAGCGCAGATACCGGCTGCACCTGCTCACACCCCAGATCGGCGCACCAGCAGTTCTGTGCCCTGCACAAGACTGCAGCCCGTCCGTGGTTCGGCGCGTCCTGCCCGTCCCGTCCGTGGTTCAGCGCGTCCTGCCGGCCGGCCGAGTGACGTCACTTCACTCACTGTCGTCGGATGACGAGCTGCCGCCGCTCTCACTGGCCGACGCCTTGGTTTCCTCCTGACGCTTCATCGAGCGCAGCGCCTTCTCGCGCAGCTTCCGCTCCAGTTCCTCCAGGTCCTCCTCCTCGCTTGACGAAGAAGAGTCGTCGTCCTCGCTCTTCTCGGCTGGTTTCGCCTTCCGACTATCTTTCCTGGTCTCCTCCTTAGCCTCTTCATCTTCTTCGTCCTCGTCTTCGCTCTCCTCACTTTCGCTGGAGTCGCGACGGCGATTCTTTTGCTTCTTACGTTTTTTGCTGCGCTTGCTTTTCTTTTTCCTCCCTTTCTTTCGGTCCGCCTCTGAATCCTGAAAGTATTTCAAGAGTTGGGTCGACAGTCTATAAGAAAGCAACACGAGAAACCACGAGATGAACAATGATACTGATAATCAATTGATAAATGATAAATGATAATCAAAAATATATCAAATCAAATAAAATGATATATAATGATATATGATAAAATGATATATATATATATATATATATATATATATATATATATAATGATATATAATGATAATCAAAATGATAATCAATTGACATGCGTCCAGCACGTCTACCGATTAATATTTTTAAGACTTATTATTTGGACACTTTTAGGCATATCAGTCATAATCGTGACCATACACCAATCAGGAATCTCAAAGGGCATTACGTTATGTGGGACAATTCAAAGGCTTGCTCCAGATAGCACGGTGTGTTTGAAGGTCCCACAAAATGATGGCAGTCATTTCCTTATCAGCACCATATGGCCAGCACGAAAAATTAAGCAATGGCACTCTACGCGCCACTAAGGTAAGCAAGCATGATCATCTAAAAAGAACTGTAACAACGCTATCGAGGAAACGTGATGTCGGTGATGACACCATCACAGGATGGCGTCAAACACGGGCGGCGGCCATCCAAAAGCACACCAGTTTGCCATCGCTTTCCTACCAACTGCAAACTAACACCGCGCTAGGCAAGTTCATCCCACCACGAAGAACACTTCTGCCGTGCATCACGCACACAGAACAGCCGATCCAGTCCCCCTCCTCCCCCCCCCCCCCCCGTTCCGGTCGATTCCGTACCTCCTCCTCCTCCTCCTCCGATTGGCTTTCCGACTTCTTGCGGCGCCTCTTCTTGCCGCGCGGCCGCTCCTCCTCGCTGGAGCTCTCTTCAGAGCTGCTCGACGCCGCCTTCTTGCGGCTCCGTGCCGGCTCGGCGTCGGACGCCGCGCTCGCCGACGACTCTTCGGACTCGCTCTCCTCGTCGGACGAGCTGGAGGAGGGCGCCGGCGGCCGGCGTGCCGCCGGCGCCGGCTCCGCCTGGCCGCCGGCGGGTCGCCGGGCCGGTGGTGGCGGCGGCAGCGGGCTGCGCCGCGCAGCCCGCTCGACGCGGGCCGGCGCCGCCGCCACCGCCCGCTCCCGGCTGCCGCTGCGGCGCCGCGGCGACGGCCTGCGTGAAGCCGCACAGCGACGTCAGCGACCATGGCGGTGAGCACGCACACTTCCTGCGCGGGCTGTATACGAAGCGAGAGGACCGTTGGCTGAGACAGGGTTAGACGCAGTGGCCTTCGACGGCCGGTGGAAACACAAGGAAACAACCCGCACAAGTAATCCGTAAACACTCACGAAAGATAGCTATCGCTGGCAGGACAACTGCATGAATTTACAGCGCATGACGTGCACAGATGCCTTAGTATTCCCCGTCAGTACTCCCATTACCCCACCACAGTACTTGCCGGTCTGCAGGCCTGATCTACTGCACGCATCGGCCGCCGGACACTTACCGTCTGCGGGGAGAGCGACGCCGAGGCGAGGACCGCTGGCCGCGCTCCCGCTCGCGCCGAACCGGCTCGCGCTTCCTGTCCCGCTCCCGGTCCCGCTCCCGGTCCCGGTCCCGGTCCCGGTCTCGGTCCCGGTCCCGATCCCGGTCGCGGTCTCGGTCGCGGTCCCGCTCCCGGTCTCGTTCGCGGTCGCGGTCGCGGTCGCGGTCGCGGTCGCGATCGCGGTCGCGGTCCCGCCGGTCCCGGTCGCGGTCGCGGTCCCGGGCGTGGCGGTCCCGACCGCGCGAACCGGAGCGATCCGGCCGGCGCCGATCCCGCGAGCGGGACCGCTCCCGGCCGCCGCGCGACCGGTCTCGCTTCTGCCGGAGACGGACACGCGGCCGCGGTCAGCGGGGTCGGACGCAGATGGTGGGGGCCGCAACACTTGCAGCATAGAGTGATAACAACTGCACAGTTTGCTACAAAGGAAAACACGGTGCAGAACAGAGGGGCCACGTGTGAACAGTGTATTAGAATTGCCGACTTTGAGTTAAAGCATCACCCCATGAGGTGGATTTTTTCACTCCGTTTCCCATGCTTCATGTGAATTTTCACTCCTAACTGATATTGTTTAACCATACATAATGAATTCATTTCCCTTTCAGAGGTGCTAAGATGTTATCCAACTCCGAGCTCACTTGAAACCAGCAAGCATAAACAAGGCTTCACAGAACCTGGACGCCTATGGTTGCATCCTGCCTCACCTACATCTGAATCATGTCTATGTATGCACAGAGCACGGGCATTAGGTACCTTCAAGCTCAAGGGTCCCTGCGACTTCAGCCGCTTGCATTTTTCAGTTTTGGCTTATTTGCAAAATGCATCACAATATACAGCTGTGTGCCAAATACAAGGTTTCCACGCATCCCTTTCTGGTCACACCACGCAGACAACACACCAGCAAAGCCTGGTGGAAACATCAGGAAAGCCTGGTAGAGATTAACTCAACGTATTGTTTTTTTTTCCGAAGAAACTTAACCACCAAATTGCACCACTTCCAAAATGAAGGAATTACAAATTCAAGAAATGCCTTCAAAATGACATCCGAAAGCTCAATGTTGTTATTTAAGCACTCGTCTCCACAGATTGCTTGTCAAACGAGTTGATTGAAAAGTGTTACCAAAAAACTACAAGTCTTTATGTTTACTTCTTTACTTGTTTTCCTCGGTCCCGCAAATATACACAAATTATTTTTCCTTCCCTTTTGAGTATTTTAAGACAACATCGTTGCCTACCAAATTAACCAATTACTCTGCAAAACTTTCCAACTGAAAACTTCCACATAATTTACATAAATTGGATTCATCCGCCATTTGCCCATAATTTGACGTGCAACCAATGGTGAACAATTCATAGGGAATGAAGATAATTTGAAGCAAATAAATTATTTTGACCGCCATTTTTTGTCTTCTTTAATCCCTAGTAAGTCGGTTTTTTGTTTGTTTATGGCGTGGCTGAATAATGATAAATCTAGGCCACTCTCGTTTCACCTCCTCACCGCCTCAAATTATCCCTCCGCACATAGCTTGGGGACAGACCTGACGCAGCTAAAACAAAGGTGTCTGGTAACGAAATTCTGCCCTTCAAAACTGCTTCCTCACACAGAGCTCCTCTTACTTACTTCACATCTTAATCTTGTAGATTGGTGGGCATGATTGATATTCGTATTTTGTGAATGGGTTGAAAGACCTTGTCTGCCAGCAAACCATTAGAAAGATGCTGACTTTTTGTTGGGAAGCAGACAGAAGCCCGTCCTTGAAAATCCGGGATCTTCTGTGATGAATCTAATCGCTAACCTTACCTGCTTTCAAGTAAGATTTGTGACCAGATTTGGCCATTTCCGTTTTATATCCACGGAATTTTGTTCATGCGACAAATTATGATGCCACAAAACATGTAATTAAATCATTTTCCACCATACCCTCGATCGCTTGCCCCAAATTTGATGAAGTGGTCTCTAATGTTTACTTTAACAGGATATTGTCCACAGTTGCCATGGTTTGCTGACTAGCAAATGACTGCACTGTAGATATGCACCATATTTTTTGACACCGGACTACTCTAAGCTGCATAGTGATTATAATATGATGTAGATACAGACGTTCAGCAAATACACCATCCCGCTTTTATTTGAAGCCAAAATCTCAGACAGGATGATATGAGATAAGGCATTTTAGGTTAGGCTTAGCTAGGCTACTTTCACGGAAGTAGGCATAGATATTTTGCACGAAACCGTGACACCATATTCGTATTTCCTGCCCCCATTTTAGCAGAAACCAAAAGTATGTCAGTTGTTGCTTGCCTGATTACGTGATGCGTTGATGTGCAAAAGTCCAGGACTTATTTTGTTTGAGTGCTTTATGCTTGTTTAATTTTATACTGTTCTTTTTGTTCTTGAACTCCTTTGTTCTGATTCGCGTTAAAAAATGAGGCGGAAGGAAAAAGTTAAGTAAAGCATCTAAACATTGGTATCACGAAGTTTTTGGTCCTCATCACACTATCACGAAATTACTATTCCTTAATATATTCTGTCTCAGTGCAATGGCCTAAGATATGAAAAACAAAAAACCTATTTGTCATGTTAAATGATATTACGTCCATGCTAACTTGAAACGTATGTCTTTGCTTAGCGGAGCATGTCTCACTGACTCGAAGTTCTAGCTTTCGTAACTTGAATTTTTCACTCCTGCAAGGTCTTTTTGCGGTGGAGTTTTTCACCCCAAACCTAGCTCAAAAGCGATTCTAGCTCACTGCGTGTGAACCGACTTCAAACTGGTCAACCTGATCACTCTTCAGGGGCGATATCAGGATGCAGTTCATGTGAGTACGAATCGTGTCTCATTCCAAATGAGGTCTCTGAAGTCTCTCATTCCAACTCATCTCAAACTATAGCGTCCAATGCGACTATAGGGAGCGGCATTGAACAAAAATGAGGAATTTTATGAGGAATGAATTCAAACTGTGGGATAAGTTTAAAATGAAGACCCTCTAGAGCTACAGTGATGAATAAAGACAGAAGGATAGCAGGGACTATTATTATCTGGCACGAGCATCTCACGCATTCATTGTGTTCAAGTCTCAGTCTAAACGTCTGATCAACGAATATAGCTGTGCCTGTATGTGGTATACAGGTAATCAGGCAGCGGACAAACATTCTTTGGTTTTGAGTCACTTTGCACCTCGAAACAAGTACTTGGTAAAAGACACCGGCGTGTAAGTGCGCAGCATATTATTACCTTTTCGTTGTCTTCATCTGACTCCTTATTCGAACGGTATTTTCTTTTCTTTTGCACGGTGTCTTCTTTCTTCTTTATCTCGAAATCTTGGCTCTGCTTGGCCTCGGCGTCGTGGTCGCCGGCTGTCTCCACCAGCCGGCTCTCCTGATCCTCCTCAGGTACGTCTGCGGCAGCTGGCTCGGCCTCTCCCGCCGCAGGCTGCATGTGAACGTCGGCAGCACTGCAAACACAAAACAAGTAACTATTTAGTGCGCGGCCATCCAATGCCTGGATGCCACCGTCACCTCCATGCATGCTACGCTCTTTCTTTAAAAGCACGCTGCGTTCGGCAGTGTAATCGGCCTATAATTAAGGCGAGGTATATCATGACCGCAATCAGGATTATAATCTGACCACTTAACAGGCCTGGTACGCACGTTAGCGAATCCACGGGTCAAACTAGCCGCCCGTACATGAAACACATGACAGGGCGTTTCCAAATGCAATGCAAAGCCGAACTACATAATTTGTTTCGAAGCAGTCACCTTTCGAACCAGTCACCTTTCGAAGCACACCACGCGGCACCCGTGCAGCTTATCAAAGCTGGTTAGTAATTGGGACATCTGGATGCTCCGACTTCGCCATCGCATGGTGCCCTGGGATAATCTTCGTCTAGCCGACGACCGATCGGCCAGCCCCAGGGGTAAGCTAACCAACCTTGTTAGTCGGCCATGAGGAGCCTGGAAGACTGTTGAAAAATATATGCGCACGGACTGGCACCACAGTTTTGGGAAGCATAAATCCAGCCAGATAGCTAACTTCTTAACAAATATCACGGGTGCCAGAGAATTGTCCCACACGGCGGACAAAGGTATTTGCAAAGATGCAAAAAGCAAACAAGAAGCCATATTTGCCGTAATTCCTTGCGGCCATTTTCCACGATGTTACAAGATTGTTACGGGGAAGCTTGATGTTGCAATGTGCAGTGCTGCAGTACAAAGGAAAAGAAGCGCGTGTGCATTTAAGCAGCTTTTCAGGCGAGAGCTTTTTCGATTTTCTGCTATATCACGCTATTGGTTGGTGACACATGCTTTTATACAAAAATAATAGCCAGATACCAGCGAATTTCCCCACGTTCAGGTGGATCAGTCTATATGCTCTTGTAATCACCTTAACACATGATTTTCACATGAATTCAGAGGAGGTTTTTATATTTCGACCTTGTTAGCAACAAACGTGACTTCTGTAAGGTAAGAAAAGCGCAAATACAATGGATGCCATAAGATAAATCACAAGTTTACTAACGTACGCGATGAAAATGCACGAGTGCAAACATGTACTTTATCTTAATAGTAAGCGTGTATTTCGAGGCAGTTGAGGGCAACCGCAAATGCATACAAAGCCCATTATTTGAAACGGCAACCGCAACTTGCACTGCTTTTCGTCGTAGATTGACTGGAATTTGATGACTTATAGCGACAGGCTTGAGCGTAGGGAGCCTGTGTTAAAAGTGGGCGGTGTCTGCACTTCCTTTTGGAGTATGGTGGCCAACATCCTCCCGCATACCCTGGAAGATCAGGGAAGCGGGAGGCCGTGTCTGGACGGCAGCCAGCTCTCCTGCAGGACCTGAAGGGGCCAGGGAAGCGGGAGGCCGTGGCTGGATGGCAGCGAACTCTCCTGCAGGACCTGAAGGGGCCAGGGAAGCGGGAGGCCGTGGCTGGACGGCAGCCAGCTCTCCTGCAGGACCTGAAGGGGCCAGGGAAGCGGGAGGCCGTGGCTGGACGGCAGCGAGCTCTCCTGCGGGACCTGAAGGGGCCAGGGAAGCGGGAGGCCGTGTCTGGACGGCAGCGAGCTCTCCTGCAGGACCTGAAGCGGCCAGGGAAGCGGGAGGCCGTGGCTGGACGGCAGCGAGTTCTCCGGTAGGACCAGATGGCGGTGGGGAAGCGGGAGGCCGCGCATAGACGGCGTCGAGAAAAAAGCATAAGTACAAACATGTGCTTCACATTAATTGAATCGGCGGAAGGAAAACAACTTGCGCATTTTTCACCCTGGCCCGACGCACTTACGCTTCTGTTACGTTGCAGATTGGACTTGTTCTGCACTTGCGCTTATTTTTAAAAACAAATTCAAAATTGTTGGCGATCGGCGATCCCATTACAATTACACCTTCGGGGATGATGGGGATCGGTATTGCGAGTCTGAAAATGCAAAAAAACAAAATGGCAAAAATTGCATTTGTGCTTTACTTCCTTTGGGCGGCAGAGTGGTGCAATGTCTAGCAGGTGGTCGTTACAGCGTAGCGGAATGCTACTGAAGGAACGCCATGGACACTGTCATGTCTGGGAAGACCTTGGGACATTGCGAAATGTCTCGTAGCCCTTTAGATGTTCACAAAGTCTAGAGTAATTGATATTCTTCTTGGGGTGTTGAGATAAAGTTAACTCGACTTCAGGCTATATAAAAAGACGGGGAATACGTTTCCAACCGTTCGCCCAGAAATTACAAAAAAAAAAATTCAAACCTGCATTTGTCATTAGTCATCAGCTGATCGCAAAATCGGCTTCCCGGCTAGCCGCCGGTCCCAGATAGGCTAGCCGCCGGTCCCCGATCGGCTAGCCATCGGTCCCGGATCGGCTAGCCACCGGTCCCGGATCGGCTAGCCGGGCCTGGAACGGCTAGCGCTCGAAAACCAGCTAGCCCACGCGAAAACCAGCTAGCCGCAACTAACCTCGAGGTGTCGAAGCTTAAGTCAAAGCTAACATCGAAGCTAATAACGGGACGATCTAGCGTGCTCGGCGTGGGCCCAGGCGCCAGTACGTAGCTGCTGAGCCCCGCGGCACCTCTCCTGGCCTCACCAAGCAGCCGCCACTTACCCCTCGCGCGGATGAGTCACCGCTGCCGCTGCCGCTGCCGCCGCTGCCGCGCCGTTCTCGGCCTCTGCCGGTCGCTCCGGCTCTGGCTTTACAGCCGGCTCGGCGGCGCGCTCACGGCGCGGTGAGCGGCTGCGGCTTCGGGTGCTGCGCCGCCGCCGCCGGCTGGCGCGCTCACGCGAGCGCGATCGCGACTGGCGGCGCGCCTTGCTGACGTTGAGCTCCTTCTCGACGCGGGCGCGCTCTGCCTCCACCTGGCGCCGGATGTCGATCTCGAGCCGCGCCTGGTCCTCCTGCCAGCCGGCGCACACGGCCGCTGTCAGCGGAGCGACAACAGGACGGCGTGGCACGTGCAGCCACAGGCGTCGCCGTCACTTACGGTCTCTATTACTACTGGAGAGAAAAGACGAAGGACTGAGTATCATTAGCTGCAACTTGCTACAGTGAAAAGAGACCAGGCGACAGCATCGACGCTAGCGAAATACACAGGGATTTCAGGGTGGGCCTCAAGTGGCATGGTGGTTGTCTTCTCCACAAGATAAGCGCATGCCTTCCGTGTAAGGCCAGAGCTACTCACTGGACCTGTCCACAGACTGGTAGTCAGAATGTACTCCTGAATATCGTACCCGGTGGTGGTCACACTGTACCGATGGCGCAGGCGGCGGACGGGACAATCCGTGGAATGATTAGACAGACTCGAGGTATCCTCTCCAATATCTTCAAACACCGTCTATAGTCGCGGCATTGCAGCCTCGTAGAGAAAGCGTCAGATAAATGTACGTCAGTGGTCACATTCAGTAAGCATTTTGGTCTCCCTTCGACTGATTGCCGTCATTAACAGTTACCACCTTACCACTACCTCATTACCACTCTCAACAGCTTTTGTGTGCCTCTCTCGGTTTTCGCGTTTTGTTCTTCTTTTTTAGCTCATCAAGTGCAACGCACGCTCATAAAGTGCACAGGCAACAAAGGGTAATATAGATCTTCAAGGGAGTGTTCCATATTTGCAGCAGGTTTTTAACAGAAATAGCCACCCTGAATATCATTCAGCACAGTTTACAGCCCCACCCTTCTCAAGACCTAAGCCCCTCTAGTTTTTTGGGCTATACGCCCGCGAATATGTACAGGCCGTTCAGGGCAATATTTGAAGGTAGCTCAGGCATCCATGACGCCATAATAACGTCATTCAAATCCTGCCATTCCATTAGCGTAGTTAATTATATCTGGCCTTCGCCAGTACGACTTCCAGATCCAACGGACGTCAATTGGCCGTTCATCAGTGTCATATAAGGTACGATTACGTAACCAAACAATGACATTGAGAAGCATGCACAATACTTATGAATTTTGTTTTTCTAAATGCTGTCTAAAGCAGTCTTTTTCACTGAAAAGCAGCCCAAGAGATTTAAGTGAGCTTATTTCGTCATACCTCACGGTTGCTCCAATATCTTCAAACATGGAGCACTCCCTTTAAGGCACGTTGATCAGCAGATAGATGTTTTCGCAACGTTAGTCGGGAACACCCTACTAGCAAAACCACTGAAAGAACATATCAACTAGATGATAATTAATCAATATGGATCGTTGTCGACGGGGGCATCTCAGGTTATCACATACAATATAAATTCACTTGACAGATTACAACCTTCGCAGCATAGCCTGATATTCAACAATCAACACATTGTTGTGTCCATGCCACACACTACTCACGTTTCGTTTCCTGATTTCTTCCTTCTTCTGCTCGATGAAGCTGTCGGGAATTCCGCTGGGATTGAGCGACGCCGAACTGAGGAGGCCCCACAGCTCGTGCAGGAACACTCGAGCATTCTTGCCATTCAGAAACCCAGTTAGGTTTATCTGCATTTTGCGCGGGTCTGGGTTCTGAAAAAGGCATGGCTGTTAATCGTCAACCAAATACAGCTCCATTAGCATTTTGAGCATACTGCACATCATGCATGCAGAGCGAATTTAGAACGGTGTCCGACATGTGCATGAAACGAATGTACACACAAGTGTTTGTAAGATTTGGTATGTCATAAAAACAAAAGAAATGATAGAATCGTCAATTTCGCCCAGACGGGCACGACACTGGGGAATATTGAACAGAACATCTTAAGTTATTTAAGAGTTGACTGGTTTGAAAGCAGCTCGGTATAGAATTAAACAGGAAGAAGGTCACAAAACCGTACAAAACCGATACTGTTCTTGAACAGGCAGATGTAAGCATTGCCTGACAAATTAAAACAGACCACTTCCAGATTCATGCGATATTTATCGACCGGCACAATGCCACGCTTAGCCCTGCTTACTGGTACGCATAATCCCTAACAACGTGAAATGGATATGGGCATTCCAGCATCCCCTCCATAGTTTGCCAAAATCTGCAATCTGAAGCACGAAAGTGACAAACAATGTCACTCCAAGACTGGCGCCGCCGAGTACACGGAATTCAAGGATAGGCGGCCAAAGTGTCCACTCAGTCTTTTAATGGGTCAGACTGCGTGGTCAGACTGCGGTCACTAACGTCTCGGCCTTTCGGCCAACATCGCGCGAAAATCGGCAGGTTGCTGAAGTGGGCATTAAGGGAAACGCTGTCACGACACGCATGGTTACAGCCACATGTCACATCATATCCAATAAAAATACATACAACAGCTGCAGACATTTTGCCTGTTCCAAAATAATTCATAATTCTGCCCTTGTTACCCTAAAATGTTAAATTCGGACAGTATCTGTCTGAAGACAGTTTGCTACCCTGTTGTTGACGGATGATATGTATGGTGACAAGGATAAACAGAATCTTGTTCCACCTGTGCCAATCAATGTAAGCTTCACACGTTCACAATACAGGAATGCAGAGTGGTGCTGACTTTATTTACATTGTAGCTGATAAGAAATAACTTGCATACAAGGTGATAACATACAAACCTAGGGGTATATCCCAAACCTATCAATTTAAATGGCTTCGCCGAGGGTGGATAATCACCTACCCGCTCCTCTAACTGGTTGAAGACAAACTCGATGACCACATCATCTTCGATGCCGAGTAGCTGGGTTATCCTCTGCGTGATCCAGGGCTTCAGCACGTCCAGCTTCACGCGGGTCATGTCGACCTGAAAACAAATCAATTGCAAATATCCTTTTAGAATCTGGTTAGCGATCGATTTGCGAGGAACCTTGAAAATTTTGGGGTTTTCCACTTTGTCTCTGTGGCGATCCACAAGTAAATCAAAACACTACATTTCATAAGCTCTCTAGTTTCATGATAAGCAAATCCACTCTTGGTAGCAATATCTCACAATGTGTTGACAAGATGTGATGCTTGAAATGGTAATTCGTGGTGGATGCCACCAAACAGATCCAGTGCTGTCACACCATTTATGCTATATTAGCCTAGCTAGAAAGAAAACAGGACATTTCACAAATTGAACCTTGGTATGACCAATTTAACTGTTTAAGTCAAACATCATCACAAGGTATTTACTAGACCTTAAGTCATGTTGATTCAGCAAATGTTGCAGCAACATTAATGCTGATGATGTTTTCTATTACAAGCCTTACCTGGGTTGGCACTAGCGTGTTTCATCTGTCAACTCGACCGCAGTACAACTAGTCGGCCCCAGGATGAAAATAAGAATAGACCAGTAAAACATTGCTCGAATGAATGCTTCTACTCATCACTGACACATCCAGAATAAATACTGGCTGCATATCAAACAATGAAAGTTCAGTCTGTGCTCTACGATCAACAGTTCTCATACAGATACTGAACTCCAAAATGCATCAAGGGAAACCTTAAAGATAACATAATGCCATTGCATCTTCTTTTTGGAAGCTCTTGGAACAATAGGGAAGCTGCTCCCTATGTTTTGATTGCTTTTTAGTGAATGTGTAAGCATAAAATAATAGCTCCTGTTCATCAACTAAGATGAAAAGTAGTCCAATGTTTCAAAGTTGCAGAAATTGGTTAGAAGTAAAAGAGCTTTAATATACACAATAACAGCAATTCTAAATACCAAATGATAATTTACTCTGACAATGGAACAAAAAGGACAGCAAGGATTTGATAACAGCAAGAAAACTTGTTGGCATATCTAATACCTGCTTAGATCACAACTATCACTAAAAAGTTCACATCTTTTCAAAGACTTTGTCAACAACCTCTCTACTGCGCAGGATAACATTGAGACAGGCATTCAGGCACCAACATACAGATGAACAGAGCAATGTTGCCAGCAGCATATTTCTTGAGCATTTCATCAGTATTTATTTACCAGCATTGATAATCACTGTGGCATGTAATAGAGTACAGAAACAAACCTTCAATATGAACATTTGCTACAGTCATACCTTTTTTGTTAAGTTATCAGAAAACTTCATCTGCTTCATCATTTTCTTCTCCTTGTCACTGAAGCGGTTATCCTGCTCAGCAGATGTCCCCTGAAAAAGAAACATGTTTTACTTGTCAGAAAAATCATGCATTACTTCTCTGCACACAAGTGGTGCATAAGAACTTGCAACACCTAACTTACCTTGCTGATCATAACAACTATAGGGCACTAACTGCAAGTGATTTGCACTTCTTCCAGACCACAAAAATTGAAGTCATTTCTACTACACCCAAACTGTTAGCACCAACCATGAATGGCATGAGACAGAGTCATAGGTGGAGCATATTTCATTTATCCACACCTGGTGTTTATCAATACAATATTTGTTACTGCACAGCACAGCAGACTGACACAAAATCAAGGTCGTGAATGATATGAAGTATGCTATAGTTTACAAATATGAAACAAAGGGTGTTGGGCAGTATATAATAATTGCAGCAGAAAGGTTACAATATTTTCAACAAAGAACACTCTTTGAAACCTCAAGGGAATTAAAAGTGACTCGAAGGAGCATCACCTGACGGTACAATTACATGACAGGTGTGTTGATGCAGGAGGGAGGTCCATGGTTCAAGTCAAACTTCAGCTTCTCCCTGATGGCAGCAACTATTACTGAAGATGGCAGCAACTGGCCAATAATCAACCTGCTGTGACTTTGTAACACAGCTCCCAGCCAATGCCACATTGTGGGTACATGCGCATGCTTTGCCTTCAGTTTAGACCATTCAATCCAGTGACATCTCCTGACTGCACAGCCTCCCTTCATGACATCACAAGTCCTCCTATAGTCCAATGAAATTGGGATAGGACCTGTGTATGTACAAGGAAATTGGAATGGGACCTGTGTATGTACAAGGAAATTGGAATGGGACCTGTGTATGTGCAAGTGCCAGCTGGAGAGCCTGACAGCCAGTGTGTGACCATGCAAGTAAATGGCCCAACTCTTTGGCATGGGGGTCAGGCAGCATGTGCAAAAATGGGTGCCACAGATGATATTTTGCAACTGGCAAACAGGAGGCTCTGGTATGGTGTGAAAGGTAAGTCTAAAAATAATCAGATTAAGTTTCTTCTGGCAAAATGGCCTCTTTGTTTTCATATGATTATCTTGATCCTGAATAATTTTCAGTCAACAGATATGCTTAAGTGGTTTAAAACAAGACCACCTTGTACACCATGGCTTGGACCAGGATTTTGTGCATCTGAAGGTATCAAACAGTTAAGAAAAATGGCATAAAAATTAGTTGATTATCATAACAGGGTTTCATGTATCTTAAGGTCAAATATTATGAAAAAACTATGTGAAACAATAAGCTGATTATCAATGATTATGCACATCATTTGGGCATAGGCAGAGTGATCAATGATCCTCAGACAGGGTGACTCAGATCCAGAGTGTAAAGCAATGGGATGCCAAGAGATCCTTGAATGATGCAAAATTAGTTATTCTGAGCATCTTTATTCAGGAGCAAAGTAACTAGAGGACCAGATGGCCATTTAAGCAAAATATTCACATTTTCAAATTAGCCCTTCCTACAAATGCTCACTGGAAAAAATAATCAAGGATTTATCTTGCAACCAGGCATGTACCTGGAGTTAGTGATCCTTGATCTGTGAGTATAAGATCCTGGCATAGATCCTGGCATGTTGGGGGGATGGGGAGGCTCCACCGACACGTCTGCTTGATTCCTATCACATCCAACTGAACCTGAATTACCCCAGAACTATATTTCCCAAAAAGTACATTTCCTATTAGTGTTTCCTTCATCACTGCTATAATAGGCAGAAACCCAACCTGAACACTTTTTCTGGTGGTCTACAACAAAGCTTTTATAGGTCATAGGGACATAACCAAAGCACTGTTAAGACATCAACAGTGTGTGATAGAACCCTATAATGAAAGCAATGTTGTCTCATAAAAATATATGGGGTTTGGCCTTTGGATGGCTGAGTTGCTCATGTGCCATAGCCAATTATAATATAGACCAGGCCACACAAAATATATCTGCTACTGTGTTACATGCATGTGATTTATCAGTGCACTGAACATTACATCCAAGTACACCAGACTCAGGGCACACCAAACTATAAAATCACTTTGCATGAGCAATGTTTTCAGAGTACATTTGCCTCAAATTACCTCTGCAATATCAAAACCTTTAGAGACAATGGCTGTCTATGCACTGAAATTGGTGGTAACTATGCATAATCCTTCAGCTCAGTAGTGAACATGCTCTGAAATTATTGCTACAATGCTCAATAGGTACATTCTGCATAGTGGACTTTTCCGTCTGAATAAAATAGGTGGACTTCTGGCAGGTGTCGCACCAATGTACAACTGGTTCCAGTTGTTACCTACCTTTCACTGAACCCTTTGTAAGGAAACCATCCAAAGTTATCCCAGCATAAAGTTCAACTCAAGGCAAGGTGACAAATGCAGTGGCAGAGTACCCACATTGCGATTCTACATATTGTGCTTAAAGCCTAGTTCTGGGTGAGCCCAGCGCCCTCTGAATTCTGTTAAAGACATCAATATTTCAATGCAGCCTAAGAGCCCATTTTACACCACGAGATGATGCATTTTCCACCAACCAATTGACCGGGCAGCACGCTGACAAACTGATGATCCCAGATTGAGTTCTAACCCAACAACCAAAAGTATTTCTCACCCGGAAAAAGCCCGCATCCGTCATTCTTGATGTCTTCTTGTTGTCTTTCACGCAAACATTAGTTTAACCACCCACCTGGTTCACTTTTTGTTTAAATGAACAATACCCGCGCGGGCCCGGCATTCACCAAGATCACGGATCATAAAATTGCTCGTCGCACGGCGGCGCCAGAAGACCCGGGGATCCGAGGAACCGTGCCGCGGCATACAGCCGCATGCGTATTTATTCCGGCACGTACGAAAATTCCACTGCGGGCAAGAATGTGGTGCAAAGCTAACAAAATACAGAGGTTTTTACCCACGTTCCCAGAGACTATTGCAGCACGCGCAGGATTCGTACACAAAATAATTACGCATGTCGAGCTCAGAAGTGACGAGGGTATTGCAACTGGGTACTGTAGGCACGTAAGTAAAGCAGAACAGGATCGGAGCGAGCCAGAGCTTCATAAAATATAAAAACAACGCAAGTTTATTTCGAACAACACCTTTGGCTCCCGGAGCACACGCCACCTCCAGGGGGATGACACCCAAACAAGGACGCGGTAATCGGGGAGGCGGAACGGGGGCACCTACGCCTCCCAACTTGAAAGCTATGGGGGTGCATGCATAACTTCATTCTTGCCTGATGAGGGCTCATTCTAGGCCATTTGTGTTCCTTTCTGACAAAAAAGAGCAAGCATGAGCCTGAAGAAGACCCTTTCTAGTCTGTGGATGTCCCCTCTGGCTTGTAGAGGCCCATTCTGATCTGTGATGGCCCTTATTGACTGTGGCGGACCCATTCTCGCCTTTAAAGGGGCGTCTATAGATGGTTCATTAATGGGCCATAATTATGGCCTGTAGAAGGTCCATTTTATTCTCGAAAGTTTAACTTCATCCTGATTTCTAGAACCCAAGCTGGCTTGAAGCGGCCCACAATGTTTTCTTGGAGGGCCCATTGCGGCATTTTGGAGTAACCCTAACTTGAACATAGTTCCCTGCAAGCTCCTGCAGCCAAATCCCCCTTGGCTACATCGCCGTCGGTTGCATGCGTAATATGATCAGCGCGGCGCTAGGTAGTGCATCACAGGGCTGGGCTAGGGCTACGGCTGCGTCTGCGACTAGGTCTGGGCCTAATACTGCGGTTGGGCCTGGGCCTGAGACTGGGACTGGGACTGCGGTTGGGCCTGGGCCTGGGCCTGGGCCTGGGCCTGGGCCTGGGACTGCGGCTGGGCCTGGGACTGAGACTGCGACTGGACCTGGGCCGGATACTGGGACTGGGACTGGGACTGCAGCTGGGCCTGGGCCTGTGACTGCGGCTGGGCCTGGGCCTAGCACTGCGGCTGGGTCGGGGTCTTGATCTGGGATTGGGTTTGGGCTCGGGACTGAGACTGAGACTGAGACTGAGACTGAGACTGGCACTGGCACTGGCACTGGCACTGGCACTGGCACTGGCACTGGCACTGGGGCTGGCACTGGCACTGGCACTGGGGCTGGCACTGAGGCTGGGGCTGGGTCTTGGCATAACACGGCCGGCAGCGGCGGTGGAAATGCACAGCGTAGAAGAGCGCAAGACAGGAGGCAGCAGAATGGGACAGGGCAGGAGATAGCTGCCACAAGGCAGGGTAGCAGACGATAGCGCATGGCGGGGGAGGGGGGGGGGGGGGGCACACGGCACGCACGACAGGTTCTAGAGATGACAGAACAGATCAAGACGGATACAACAGAGCAGAGGACAGCACACCGCAGCGCAGCACAGCACAGCACAAAACGTGGTTGAGGCAAGCGAAATTCGCCAAAATATAACAAGATTTAGCTGAAAGGCAATTTTGAAAGATGTTTCCTCCATTCCTAACGTAATTGCACACAAAACTAGTCTCTTGCGCGTCTTCAACTGGCTTAACGGCGTCTGCGTGCCATGCCGTTGGAGTCATTGGTTTAGGTCACTGGTTCTAATCCTTGGTTGGTTTAAGATGAACTTAGTGCATACGCATCTAGCCAACATCCTAACCAACTTAACAAATGTCAGAGAGCGAGCTTCAAGCTTGCTTCGCCGCCAACTCAGCGAAAATGAACAAGGACAAAACCCGACTTTGCTCTGATAGATATCAAACATAATTAAAAGAAAACTGTGATTTTCAATTTATAATAGATTGATAGGCTACGTCACCATCACGGCACATCCAATTTATCGGCGTGATCGTAGCGCCAAAGTCGCACAAAAATGCAACGGAATTCCAATCTTGCTGTAACGCCTGCGGTAATATTTTACACCTGCTGATCTGAAAATTAGAATCGAAGCCTACATTTTTCACATATAACTTACTGCATATCTCTATGGGGTGGCGCGATCAAGTGTCAGATGTAGAGGATTCAAAAAGCTTTGCGTTTTGCCGCCAAGGTTGTCTCTAGCATAAAACGCACCCAGCATGTTACACCGGTTTTGGAATCTTTAGGCTGGCCCCGGATTAATGATTTGGTGGAAGAGGGGCGTGTCGAAAAATTCAAAAATCGCCCGGCCTGCTCAACATCTTTTTAAACCACGTTGCTCTCCTTTGCTTAGGGAGACGCGCTCCTCCATGTCAATATCTCTCCACCTGTCCAGGTGCCGATTGGAAGCCACGAAGCTTTCCTTATCGTGCGGCGGCAACTTGGAAACGCCTGCCTCCGACCACCACTATGTCTTCATCTCTGAATTTTGAGGGATTAAAAACTTGCATTTAAAAACGCAAATGTTTAGGTCATGCGCCTTAATTTTAAACCCATGCTGGTTACTTTGTGGCCGTATCGTATTTTATCGTATCGTATCTTACATCGTCATATTCTATAGTCTAGTTTATAGTACCGTATTTTATAGTATATTTCGTAGCATAGCCCATTATGTATATATATATATATATATATATATATATATATATATATATATATACATATACATCTGCATGCATGTATGCATATAAACACATATATTGTAATGTAATGCGTTGTTGTGAGCAGGTAATGTAAAGATCCGAAGGTAGTAAACGTGGTAGCGAGCCAAAATCTGAAAAGTCACCTCACGAATGGCTGTCGAGCAAACAAAATTCAACACACAAAAAGGCCGCGAACTGTCTGCATCGAGTGAAATCACGAAGGCTTGAAATCGCACCTTTCCAGATTGATAAAGTCATACATAGGAGGGCACGCTTCGAGGCGACACGAAACCCAAACAGGCGTGTTCCTTGCTCAATTACGAGAAGATTGACAGAGTAACAGATAGAGCACCCGGCAAGAGCGTAGGGCCCTCCATTCCAAAAGAAGCTACCCAAAACCCAGAGTGAGGGACCCCCAAAAGATCGAGTATCCAAGCAGGCTATCAGATAGCCCCGGTAGGAGCGTAAGGCCCTGCACTTAATTACCAACGCCCAATGTGCGGGACCTCCAACAATCCAGTGCACCCGAGCACGCTAGCAGATGGGGGCCAACAGGGGCATGGAACCCTCCATTCAAATAGCAAGTACCAATGACCCAATTTGGAGAGCCCCGAACGACCGTGTGAGCCCAAGTAGGCTAAGAGATGGGCTCCAGACAAGAGCGTAGGGCCCTCAGCAAGTGACAGATAATTGGAACCACCGTAGACCAATGTAGCGGGCCCATGAGCATATCGCAGGTGTACCGTTGGAGTAACCGTGACCAACGTGAAGCAGACTGAGCAGCCGAAAATGTCCCGGCATGCCAACATATCCCACTCACCCTCCCGGCTTTAACGTATAGAGCGTTTCAGGCGAATGCGAGGAATCCATGGAAGGCCGCTGATTGGCAAGGAGTCCTCCGGCACGCAGTCAGGAAGATCCCCAGCAACAGCGCAGAGCGCTCCGAGCGAATGCGATGAAATCAAGAGCAACGTAGAAGGCTCCTCAACGATCAGAATGACTCCGTGAATGGACACATGGAGCTTTCAGAAATAGCGTAGGGCCTCTGAGCATCGTAAGCAGTCCTATTAAAAACTCCCTACGCCACCCTCTCAATCAGTGAAAAATGATCTTTGTCTACTCGTGGGGCCTTCACTCTCGCTGGCGACTGTTATTGAAGGCCCGGAAGCCCAAAGACGTCAAAGTGTGATGCGTTCTGTGTAAAAAAAGGAAAAGCGTCTGTTCAGCCGCCTATGGGCCCACTTGGAGCCTTTGATCCCTTCGGTGCACAAGGGGGGCGTGGCCCCATACCCCCTGGATCCGCCCCTATGTTTGGCTTAACAATGACGTCTCGCCGCGCGCGTTCCGGGGCATAGAAACTTGCCGCCCTTCCCTCCCTCCCCCTCCCCCCCCCCCCCACTCAGCCGGCCGGCCGTAGGTCGCCCTGCAGTACTCTTACACCGTCTCTGCTCCGAAACCCCAAACATTAGGAACGCATTTTTGGTGTCAAAACACGCACAGCAGATACTTCATAAGCTACCGAAAACTCGGGAGCGATTATATGACATCCCGGAGAGGTGTCTTCAAGAGACCTTAGGGGGGGCGCATTGACCCCTTGCTTTTAAGGCGAGAGGTAACACACCAGGGGGCGCTAACATTTGAGCACGCACCTGTCCCACTCCACACTTTCAGAGACATAATTGTGCCTATGTTGACCTTAATTACAACATCTATCATTCAAACTGTCAGTGTCAGTGCTCTTTGTGTCAGACCAGGACTAATCACAACATGGTAACAAATATAGACCAGTGAGAACCAAACCAGAAACCTACGCTGCACTGGACGTAACAAGCGACTGCGTATTTTCATATACGCAAAACTTGCTCACAGTGCCCAGCATTGTTGCGACCTCTCGGCTACTTGATACAAGCCTGAAAGACGACAACACGCGACCGAACGTACGCAGCGGCATTCGCCATGTCCGTGTTGTGTTCTGTGAGTTTGGAGTTTCGTGCACAGGTAAGAAAACTTTTTCTTATCTGGTAGCTTCAGAACACATTCTTACGAAGGGAATTTTCTAACGTGCTGGAATATATACGCCAACCACACCGCGCAGCGTCTAACATAAGAATGCAGGGTGGTCAAACTACTGCCATTTTCGACAGTTCCTCGCAATCAAGCTAGTTGCGTTTTGGCCGCGTAGAGGTATCGTTCAGATGTTGTTAATTTATCGCGCATGTATGTTTTGGTACTGTTGATACATAAATACAAAGAAACTGCAAGTCTTTTCAGCTTTGTTGAAAACCAGTGCACATTCACTCTTGAACACTGGGGCAGCCGATGTATGTTGTGGTGGGTGGGTGCCGAATAATTGGTAGTTTGTAAAGTGAGAGTGGGTGTGGTGTATGTTGGCGTCACTCCTCTCGTTGTGTGGTAATACAAATGTAGCTAGGTGCCCTATCATTGGAGGCCTCATTACCAATTTGGGTATTAAATATGGGTTTAGTGTCACTGGTCATGATATGGTTTTGATATGGTAAATGGTTATAGTGTAATGTGGTAAACGGTGTTAGTTTCACTGTAATAAATGATGATAAGATGGTTTTGGTTTTTGGTTATATGGCTTTTATGTGGTGAATCAGTATCATGTGATTTTCATATGATGAATAACTACAGTGTGTCCTGATTGGCAAGCATGCCAGGCAGCCTGCCAGATATCCATTCAACCCAATTCTCAGAGCTTAACCAGTTGTTTGGCTGGATATATAGTTTTATATACATGATCCTGGAAAACTGTCACCTCACAGATCTTGAGGCATTATTGAAGTATTTGCGAGAGATCACAGATGGGGATTTAGATGCAAAGCTCTGCAAACCAGAAGTTCAGTAGCTGGTGAGCTGCTGGGCCATACTGGTATCTCTTGTTGAATTGAATCCACATGATACCACCTAACTGTAGGAATGAATAGGAATAGGAATAGTTCATCAAGTTCTTGTCAGTCAATGGGAGAGTGAAGTGGTTGATGCTTGCAAACTATCTCAGATCATAGCCAGCATAAGGATTGCCTTGGCCACTGTCACATCTGTCTGGATATCAGTTTTGCTGTGCTGCTATGATTCCCTGATATGTTTTTATCTCAATTGCCCCAATCTCATTTTCATTTAGGAGGTAGCTCCACCATGAATGTCATAGACCCAGATGCCTGCTCTTGCACTTTGATAAATTCAGTGGCAAAAGCCAGCACTCAGACCAGCACAAGGACAATCGAGATTGGCATGCAATGACAATTGCATGCCAGGGGGCTGCGGCCAGGGCTATTTCAATTTTTGTTGTGTCGTGAAACATGGATGCCACTAACCACTTTAGTCCAGTCTAACACATGGTGCTTCATGGTTGCTCTCTATTGTTGGCTGCTCAGGGAGGCCTGGATCCTGTGGAGTCATTTACCACCAAGGGCCTGGACAAGGTGTTGGTGCAGCACTGAATTAAAGGCCTTTCCATATAGGTGACTGGCCCTCATCTTAATGACTGCATTCCAGTCCTATTTGGTCTCCAGCAACTCAGCATGGAGCAGGAATGTTATGGCAGGCAGCTTTCTTGAGATTTGTCTGGAGCAGACCTCTCTCCACCATCAGCTCCCAGGACCTGTTGATGAGAGCAATATTATCAGTCAGAAGGAAACACACTGTTGTCAACTGATTTATGAAAAATACATGTACCAAGACTGGGACAATGCTTTAGCGGACCCACAATGTCTTTGGGTGTGTTAGAGTTAGATCCTGAAGAGGAGGTTGGCTTGAGTGAGGTCACCTTTCCTTCAACAGCTGGATGTGAGGTGTAATGGTCATCCAGAGAACATCTGGCATGGTTTTCTTCACTGCTGATACAACCACCAACCCCTCCTGAGTGAACATACTTGGGAGCAGAGTGCAGCCAAGGGAGTAGCTTGGGGTTCAGCATAAATGGTTCCCAACTAAAAGTTCCAAATCTGTGTGATGGTATTCGAGCCCAAGGACCCTCCCCTAAAAAAAATGTGGTAGCCCCCTGTTTGAGAAGAGTCTGCTTGAAAAGCCTGCCTCCTGCTGACTTGATTGGTGCCGTATTCTCATTTTGCAAATCTTTGATTGTTCTCGCTTCTCTGCTCTGGTATCTCGTCATCAGCGATCTAGAGGACTTGCTGCCAGATTAGTGTTGTGTCATGCCTGGATTTATGCTATTCTGCAGTTTCTTTTCTTCAAACCCATTGCAGAGCCATCATGCCAGGGGTTTTAGGGTTTAAGTCATTTTCAGTTGTGCCATTCACTGTGTGGGTTCTTCTCTGTCATTACAGAACGATCCTGCTCCCACCGCGGCCTTGAGCAGGTCTGCTTACTAACAATGCTTACAGCATTGAAGTATACTATTCATGGTTGTAGAACGCAGCATGTGATTTTGAGGAGGAAGGGACGCCTGCGACACGGCACCTTGGGGGAGGACTGTATTCGCCATTGTTCAGCACAGAAGCATCAAGAGCATGAAGATGATGGTAAGCATGTAGACCTCCTATGGTGTATATTGCATGAAGAAAACATCAAAATGTGATGAAGTGGAACTTGCACTGATTTGTTAGTTGGTGACCAAAATGAACATAAAGAGCAACAAAACTGGTTGGCCTCCATGATATTACTGCCTTAATTCAAATGCTTGAATGTGAATATCGTCATTTTCATTCAATGAAAGCATGCTACAAACACGAAAGAATTACATTCAATCAGACAAATCAGACGTGGTCATTTTTCATCCTGCTCAATCTTGTCCTGAATTAGCTGACGCTCGTTTGCAGGGGGGGGGGGGTAATTTCCTCCCACGCCCGAGTTTTTCCAAAATAACTCAACTTCCGGACGGCGCCGTTTAACCCTGTTAAGCTCTGTATATTTGTAGCTGATTACACAGCCCATCTTGTGTTAAAAGGTTGGGTGTACCTTGTAAGGTCACTGACCCATGGCAGGTTAAAGTCAGGCCAAGGCTGTCATCAAAGGCAATTCCTCGGGAATCGTACAACGTGATGCGACAACGAAGTGCGAGACAACACCATGCATCTTTGAGACAGTTTGTTGGACAGCTAGACAATAGCATTTACGATAACAAAGAATTTTATCGACGTTGGGTCAGGTTAGGTCAGTTCGAGTTTAAAACCCAATTGCTTTTTTACCGGATACCTTGCTGTGTGATGCATTTTGGACACTTATTTGGGATTCCTTGGTCGCGGTGAGGCCAAAAAATGTTTGAACTGCTTTATAAAGGTCAGAATAGGTCATTGACTTAGAATGGCCCCAATCAACCTTTTCTGTAACATACCGCCTAGCGTAATCCTTGATACTTATTGAAAATAAAACGTTGTCGCAGGCTTTTGGTCACGGTAACTTCCTTTAAGTCAAATAAGGCCATTAAGGCGAAGTAGACACCGGTGACTCTGCTTGGCAGGGGTACCCAGGTTAAAGTTGGTTGCATAAGGAGGCCTGAAATAAACTTCGGAGACCGAGATGAACTGTTGGCCTTGTTTTACCGTATTTGACGTAAATAAATCGGCCACGCGGGTGCGTGTCTAAGACTGAGTGGAAATAACACTGCTTATTACTTTCTAGCGGCCAGCACAGTGAACACAGATGAGGTTGCTAAGTTTAGTCGCATGGCAGGGCAGTGGTGGGATGAGCTTGGTGAAGTACGTCCACTCCATGCTATGAATGAGCTCAGGTAAGCAAGTACTTGGTGTTAGTCACCTATACTCACGCCAGATGAACTAATGCCACTAATATCAAACACGTCATTTGGAATGGCCTAAGCTAATTTTCCTAACTAACCCACAAATGCAGCTCTTGTTTTCTATGTTCATGTTGACTGTTCCAAGTGTGCAGCATTCATTCCCTGTATTTGATTGGTGAACATTGATGAATCACGTTGGTTGTACCTCAGAAGATGCTGAGCTGCCAACCAAAACCATTACGTGCGCCTTCTGCATTTGTATACATTTCCTACAAAGCAAAAAAGTTTACATCAGCGTCGATTTTCGGCCCGGCCGCGCATGACCGATGTCCGTGCGGCCGGCCAGGGTGCCGCTGGTGCGCGACGGCCTGGTGGCGACGGGCGCCGTGGCGGCCGAGCGGCGCGGCGCGGCCCGGCCGCTGGATGGACTCCTACTGCTGGACGTCGGCTGCGGCGGCTGGCCTGCTGTCGGAGCCGCTCGCACGGCTCGGCGCCGAGGTCACCGGCATCGACGCCGCCGAGGACAATGTGCAGGTGCCGGCGGAGGGGGGGGGGGGGGATGACCGGGTAGGTCATCATGGCTCCTGCGTAGTTCATCGGCTTGGTCGTCCTCAAGCTCGCGACGAAGTGCTCTCAGGGGAGATTGCGGTAACGTAGGAAGTATCGAACGCGCTGTTTTGAGTATGGAGTCTACTTAAATGTCTATCGTGTGCGGCCAATTGCAGTTAACTGTTTTGACTGAGTGGCGATTTCCATCTTGGCTATTGCAGCCCGACTCACTTTCTCGACGAGCCTCGACCTCAGCACGGTTTATCTGCGTCCGTTCCTGACGTGACTGGCATCTTTTTGAGCCGACCGCTTGTCCTCAGGTGGCGGAGCTGCACGCGGCGCAGGATAGCCGGCTGCGCGCGCCCAGCCTGCGCCGCCCCCTCTATCGTTGCTGCACCGTCGAGCAGCTGGCCGACGAGAGGCCAGCTGCCTTCGATGCCGTGATCGCGTCCGAGGTGCTCGAGCACGTGGACCACCAGAAACTGTTCGTGGATATGTGCTGTCGGCTGTTGAAGGTGAGGAGGCGTGGCATTGGGCAAGGATGGTGGGGTGCGCAGGGGTGGAGTATTGTTGGCATTTTCCCCATGATGCTTTTTCAGGCATGTTACGTGTCGGTACTCATGTTCTCGGCGTGTGCGTCGGTAGTCATGTTCTCGGCGTGTGCGTCGGTAGTCATGTTCTCGGCGTGTGCGTCGGTACTCATGTTCTTCGGCGTTTGCGTCGGTACTCATGTTCTCGGCGTGTGCGTCGGTAGTCATGTTCTCGGCGTTTGCGGCTGTAGTCATGTTCTCGGCGTGTGCGTCGGTAGTCATGTTCTCGGCGTTTGCGGCTGTATTCATGTTCTCGGCGCTTGTCAGGCGAAGGGGCGTGCCCGGACGAGGCCGACACTTAAAACGCGACCTTTAAACAATCATTCGAGCTCGACCACGGACATTTCGGACCATATCTGGTGTCCGTTCCGTGGTCTCTTTCACTTCATTCCCTTCTCTACTAGCTGGGCTTTGTTCCGATCGTGTCTTACCTTTCGCAGCAATTAGAGACCACGTCTGCGTGATGTGCACAGTGGACCAAGAAATGAATTGCATTCAAGTTGAGTGTTTATCGAATGTCTGACGTAAGGTGCATAGTAAGGAATGACGACTCGTTTTATCAGCCATCCTAGGCAGGCCTTTCGATTAGTATAACGTGACGAAGTTTTCGAAAGAAACTCGCTTGCGATACGACGGTCGTTTACTTTGGACCCAAGTCACGTCCGTAAGCTTACGGCCAGTGTGGCGGAGCCGCGGTCCCTCCTGTCAGCTGTTGGTGTCAGTCCGTGTGGTACGTGTGGTTAATGTGCTACCAATCGGTCTCCTCTTCCGGCAGCCGGGCGGCTCGCTCTTCATCACCACGCTGAGCCGGAGCACGCGCGCCTGGCTGGCCGCCGTGCTGGCCGCTGAGCACGTGCTCCGTCTGCTGCCGGTTGGCACGCACGACTGGAACAAGTTCCTCCGGCCCGAGGAGCTGCACGCCCTCATAGCCGAGAGTGAGTGGCGCGGGTGGCCCGTCTCCAGGGCGCCGGGCATGGGTGTCGTTGTTGTTGGAAACTGCTTATCTCGTCGCACGTGAAAGGGCGTGGGTTCGAAACGAGAGGCGAGAGGCTCGCCACCGTTTTCCGCCGCTGGATTGTCACGTGATAGGCAGCCATTGTCCCGGCGCCGGCTACGGTGCGCAGACTGCGTGATCACCCGTGCCGTGGCTCCAGACGATATGACGCTGAGGCTACAGCACGGCCTCCGCTACAACCCGGTAAGCGGCCGCTGGACCTGGACGGCCGACACATCCGTCAGCTACGCCATCCACGCCGTCGCGCCGACCGGGTAGGCGCTGCTGCCACCGACCCGGCCCACACAGATGTGTGGCCAAACACACAGGACGTGCTGGATGTGGTGCTGTGGTGCGAAGGAAATGCTGTGATGCCTCGGTACCCAGGATGTGGATGTGGTATGCTTGTGCGCTGTGGTTGACGCGACACACGGCCTGTTATGTGAATCAGAAGATTCTAAAAGCTCAGTCTGTTGACCTACGACATTGATGGTTTGAAACGCGATAGATATGGCTAACGCGCCATATTTCACGAAGTCGAACCTATATCAACACCCGTAGATTTTTTGCTGTGAAAAACGGACAATATAAAGTTACGCCCAGTGCTTGCACACGTGCGCACCCGCGCTCACGCTTTATCAATCACGTACCGTCGTGGAGAATCAAGTGCCCAGTGCTTGCACACGTGCGCACTCGCGCTCACCCTTTATAGATCACGTACCGTCGTGGAGAATCAAGTGCCCAGTGCTTGCACACGTGCGCACCCGCGCTCACGCTTTATCAATCACGTACCGTCATGGAGAATCAAGAAACAAGTACAAAGGCCCAACAGTCCTTCCGTAAAAGGCAACCTGCATAAGTCTAATATATTTTCTGTCATTCACACAAAAGATGATGACACAAGGCGTATACTAACAACAATTTACAGGTTCAAATGACTGTGTGGTCCGTGCGGTCGAACGCGCGTGCGCGGGCACACCGGCACTACGTGGCCGCCAAAGCCTGGCAGCGGCTGCCGGATACGCCTGTCCTGTCCACGTATTGCAACACATCTCCCGCATTGCGTAAGTCGTATCCGCCGTAACGTGCAAAAACCTCTGCCTGCGTGAAAGAAGCTTTCAACACGTAGCAGAGCGGGTCAACCGTACCACGCGGCCCGTCGCCTAAGTACATCTGGCGGTGGTCGTCTGTCCGGGGCGGCGCTGTGGGGTCAGACGGCGGGCGGGGCTGGCGCTCATCACGATCAGTGGCGGGCCGCGCGCCCCGGCCGGCACCGCGGAGGTCAGTCGGTAGAAGCGGGGCAGCACTCAGCACGATCAGCAAAGAGTCGCGCCCCGGCCGGCGCTGCGGGGGTCAGACGGCGGGCGGGGCTGGCGCTCAGCACGATCAGTGGCGGGCCGCGCGCCCCGGCCGGCGCCGCGGGGTCAGTCGGCGGGAGCGGGACTGGCGCTCGGCACGATCAGTGGCGGGCCGCGCGCCTCGCCCAGCGCCGCGGGAGTCAGTCGGCGGGAGCGGGGCTGGCGCTCAGCACGATCAATGGCGGGCCGCGCCCCATCGGGCCCTGCCGCCGGTTCGGAAGGCCCGGCCGGCGCTGCCCCCAGCGACGCGTCCAGCTTGTCCTGCTGCGACAGCATCTGCCGGCGGCGGGAGCGGGCTGAGCAGGAGGCGGACCGCGTGCAGCGTGACACTGCCCGTGCTGGGCCACAGGGCGACGCGCCGACCGTAAACGCCGACCGTACTGGCGCAGTACTGAGACGATGACCGGTGGGATGCAGCGGTGGACAGACGGTCTCTGGCTGCAGGTCTCCGTGGTCACAGGACAAAAGTCAGAAACAAAAAGTCAAACAGGCTAAAAGTTAAATGCAAAAAAGGCAACAAGCCAAGAAGTTAAAAGAACAAAACGTCAAACGGCAAAAAGTAAAAGGATGAAAGTCAGATGCAAAAGGCCGCGCAGAGAAAAAGTAAAAAAAAACAAAACACGAACGCCAAAAGGCAAACTGCCAAATGGGCAAAAAGTCACTGGATAAGTCGAATAGGATGACGTCAGAAGCAAAAGTCACAAGGCAAAAAGTCTTAAGGGATAAACGCAAAATGGATAGCAGCAGAACACAGACACTTCAAATCATTTCCCTGGATTAAACAGGGGTTCAAAATACACCAAGGGCCTGTGGTCAGGCGCTCACGGGGAGGGCTATGGGGCAAGGTGTTGGTATGAAGAGTTCACCCCGCCCAGTCACTTTTAATAAGCCATTTATCGGCTCTGACAGCGCGAAAGGAGCATAGGCCGGGTCTCAGCCTTTGATCGAAATAGGGCCTTCCTGTGTGATGGAAGCGTAGGGGCGTAGTTTCTCAAAATGGCTCGAGGGGGGCTGAACAGCGGAAAATGACCCAACCTACCCCAAAATATGCCGACAAGCAGGCTTCTCCACAGATTTTGCCCATTTTCTTCCCAACGATGGGGTGACTTAAGCTCAAGTTGGGGACCGGAGCCCCCAAGCTCCTCCAACTGAATAAGAAACCACACACCCGGGTAAGTCTTAACTCACGATTTTTCGCACTGTGATGCAGTAACTGAATAGGAAACTACACACGTCCTAACTAACGATGATTTTTCGCGATGTGATACCCTTTAGCTTATCCACTTCAGGTCCACTCAGCTACAGCAAACCATACCCACAAAAGGGCATTCCTCCGACGAGCGGCGTCGCGGATTGTGAGCTGGGGAAAACCTTTCCAGGTGATTTCAGGCCCTCTAGACAAAATAATGCCTCGCAAAGAAAGCTGCTGGGTGAGGCCATCAAGGGGCCTCCTGAGCTTCGGCGGGACGAAGACGACGTAACCCGCGCGGCAGCGTCATCACCACTCTCTATTCCAACTTCTCAGAAGCCTACTATACCTTCCGCATTGGGAGAAGGTGTATGTCCCGTTTTTCGATTATTTCGGGTTCTGGGAAGGCAAAGGAAACCACATTTGTTGGGTTAACGAGAGCAATGAAAGAAACAAAAACAAAATTGGAGACATACTAAAATTTGCTTGTTTGCGAAGTTCGTAGACCCACTAAAATTTGCGACGTTACCTTGCTGCTTGTTAGCAGCCACATCCGTGACTTAACAGGTTTAAGCCGTAAAAAGCAAGAGTGACTGTTTAAGTGTTCGGTCGGCTTTAACACGCGCTCGGGTTGGGGTGGGGATGGGGGTAAAATTGACCCCCGAAGGTTTTTCCAAAATGGTTTCCGAACAGCGCGGTGCAGCCGCGCCAAATTTTGCATAGCTGTAGACAATTACATGGCGGATCGTTTGGCATCGAAAATTTAGATGGAACTCGTAAGGTCGCTGACCTATGGCAGGTCAAAGTCAGGCCATGATTTCAGCGAAGGCAATTTCCTGGGAATCCTTCAATCTGATCCAACAACGGAGAGTGTCGGTCGACGCCATGCACCTCTGAAATGCTTTCTTAGACAACACAAAAGTTGAATGAGCACATTACATTGACCTAAGGTCAGGTATGAAGGTCACACCAAGGTCAAAACCAACCTGTTTTATTACTCTAGGGCTTGCTGTATGGGATACTTTCTGGTGCTCATTTCGAATTTATTGGTAGCAGGAACCGCATTATATATCATCCATGGACTTCTTCGACGTCAGAATAGGTCATTGACCTAAATGACCCAGGTCAATATTTTGTTTTAGGAACATACTGCCTAGCGTAATCTTTGACGCTTAGTCAAATGCAAAACTGAAAGCAATCTTGTACCATTTTGGTCACCTTGACCTTAAAAAGGTCAAACAAGGTCACTGGCCTTGAATGAGCATGCGAACTTCCGCTTAGAAACGGTTATCTAGGGTCTGGGAGCACTGGAGACCAACCTGGAACTTGACCTTGTTTGACCTTTTTGACCCGAAGGTCATGACCTAGGAACCTGAAACTTTGACGCTTGAGTGAGTTCACGTACAGCTTAATACACCCTGTAAATTTGGTGTCTCTAGCTCTCTTAGTTCCCGAGATCTCAGGGGGCAGTCAAATCGACCCCACCCCCACCCGAGCGAGGGGTATCTAGCCGGCCACCGGGGCGCGTGTTAACAATCTGTTAGATAAAGTTACAGACTTCAAACAACTGTATGGGCAGATACTAAGATGGGGTTAGCTATCTAGTTTTCCATGGACTCTGTAAGCAGACAAAGTGTCGAAGCCTCAGTCAAATTTACGACTTGACGCAGAAAGGGTCAGAAACACGAATTCGGATCTACTAGCCCAATTATGGGGGCGGATACCTGTCCCCTTGCTTTCTCCCTGCTCGTCGTCACTGACTACGCCTAAAACCGTGCTGTGCTGTGCAGAGGCCATGGGGTGCCCTGGATTGGAGCTGAAAGGGCCCCGGGCAATGGACCAGGGTTGTTTCGCTTACTTGCCTCGGGGCTCCCAGGCCTATCTTTCATTTTGACTTGCATTTCTTAGACTAATTTCTTCCCTTTTTATATGCAAGGGGAATGAGGTTACAAGGGGACGTGGGAGACAAGTGGGAAGACTTTTTCTAATGTAGTCTTGATCCTGTTTACTTTCACCCCGGTGACATCTTACAGTTAACTTATCATTGAACTTTTCACACTTTCTTTTAATTTGCAACCTTTTCAATTTGACTTTTCCGTTTGACCTGTTGATGTTTGACATGTATGCATATGACTTTTATCCCTTTGGACTTTTTGCCTGTTTGACTTTTTGTGCTTGACTTTGATCATTTGACTCTATCCTTCGACTTCTTGGCTTTTTACTTGTAGTCCAGTTACTGGCCTCCGTCACCTTGGCCTCTCCGTGACCATCGCAAGGCCCATCGGTTCTGTTACAAAACGTTTAAAAATTCGGATGCGCATTGTGCACCGTCCCGAGCGTGTGACTTCACTGAACTCTAACGACGTGAGGGCCCGTATCTTGTACATCCATGCAAACCATATAGCTCAGAGACGCCACAAGACGGCATATCCGACATCCTCTGCGCTGTATCATGGACGGGGCTACACCAACTTCACGCGCTGAAGCGGGAGCCGCTTGCTGCGGGTCGGCCGGATGGCGCCGCCGTCCCCGGTAACGCGCCCCAGGCGTGCCGCCCGGCGCGCTCACCTGGTGCGCCGTCTGCTGCAGCAGACACAATTCCTGCACCTGCTCCTCGGACTGCTCGTGCTTGGTGCGCAGGTGCTTCTGCATCTTGTAGCGGCGCGTGAAGCCGAGCCCGCAGAGCGGGCACACGTGCGCCCGCTGCGCGCTGTGGATGACCTCGTGGCAGCGCAGGTCGCCGCGGTCCCGGAACGCCCGGTCACAGTGGTTGCACTTGAACGGCCGAGCGCCTGCCGGACGGGGCACGGGTGAGGCGGCCTGCGCGAGCGGTCTGGCGCCGTCCGGCCTGTCCGTGCGCCGTTCAGTTCGGGCCAACGGCTGCATAAACGTCTTGTTCAGTGGCCGCGGTGAGACTGCGGCGCCCGGACGTATCTCTGTTGACTAACAGACGCGCCTTGAATCATTTCTCGTAATCCTTGCGCCGCGATGAGACAGTACTAGTAGCCTTATTCTGCGTAAAATAATCTAGAAAATGGAGAGATACATGCATGGATAGAGGCATAGGGCCGAAATATCATCCACCCACCTCTCCATTCGCCTAGATATTCTGCGAGAAAGGAGGCTATTACTCCTGTCTTATCTATGTCTATTATGTCCTTCGCAAACGCATAAACATCTTACGTAATTCCAGCACCAATCAGTGTTTTGAAAACCGGAAGGGCATGACGTGATTTGATGAAAATGGACGAAGCCATGCAACGACCCAACTTAATGGGATAAATCAACCGTCTGCGGGTGAATGCGCCGCACTCACGAAACCACTTCTACCCTGTCCTGACAAGGGAGTTCGTGGCAGAAGTCCTCCAAAAAGGCGACAAGTGCAATGACGGCGAAGATAATGGATGGTATATCCGGTATAAATTCCAGTGCACCCGCATTCAAGTCACCGCAAGTACAAACCACTTTATGAAATCGAACCAAGCCACGCTTCGGTGGCAGCCACGCCTCGCCTTTTGTGCTCCCAACGGCGCGCCCGACGCGCTGAGGACGCCACCCCAGCCCGCCTGACCAACCGGTGTGCTTGCGCAGGTGCCGCTCTAGCGAGCGTTTCAGCAGGAACGACGCCGAGCACAGGTCGCAGCCGAAGCGGCGGTCGTCGTTGTGCTTGCGCTGGTGCGCCTCGAACGCCTGGCGCGTGCGCAGCCGCTTGCCGCACGTGTCACACTGGTACGGGAACTGGCCCTGGCGAAGAGGGCGCGAGGTGTCAGCGCGCGGGGCTCGCGTTTAAGCACGTGTCACACTGGTACCGGAACTGGCCCTGGCGAAGAGGGCCCGAGGTGTCAGCGCGCGGGGCTCGCGTTTAAGCCAATTTACGAGAAGTTTGCCCCCCTCCCCCCCACCCCGCACACACACCCTAGCGAATACATCCCTCGCATGACAGGTGTGTTTTGCTTAATAACAAAACAACTCAATCATGACACTCAGATGTGTCAAATCAACATTTGAGACTAGGCGACTAGACCGTACCACAAGTGTCTAGGATGCAAGAGCAGGGTGCGCAAGAAAAATGCACCGTGATAAAGGCATAAAATGCGGTTTGGTTTCAAGTTCCAGCGACATTTAGCTTCCAGGCAGCACAAATGTATCTTCAATATCTCATTTGCTGGATAGAGCGAGCCAAATGGGTATCCCGAACCCAGCATGGAGCTCACACCAAAAAGCAGCAGCCTCCATCACGAAAACAATAATCAGACCTAAAAAACTGCATGTAAACAGCGTTGTCTGCAGCCCGCAGACGTGTATACATCAAGCCTACAATGTGAGTAAATGAAACCGTATAAGCTCTGTGATAAGCCGTGGGACCCGCCAACTTTTCCTTCTGAATCTAGACACGCGGTGCCGAGCCAAACACGAGTGAACCCAAGTTACAATGCAGTCACCAGTCGCCCGAGCGCCCAGGCGTAACATGGCCAAGGGGGGGGGGGGGGCGTGACGGAGCGCGGACCGCCCAGGTATGCACCGCCGGTGTGAGCCAGTGCACCCGCGCAAGACAGTGCGCGCGCGCGAAGTCACCACCCGGACCACCCCAGATACTATACTGATTGACGACGGCGGTGCGCTGAAAGGTTTCTCTCCGGCGCGTGCTCAGACTGCTCGAGCCCGCGGCGCTCATAACCGACTTACCACGGCCGAGCACGCACACGCATACACACACGGGGCGACAGCCGGGCCGAACCGAGCACGAGCCGTTTCTGCGAGCACTGACCGTGTGCACCAGCGCGTGGGCGCGCAGGTTGCCGCGCTGACTGAAGCCCCGTCCGCACACCTCACACGTGTACGGCCGGTCGCCGCTGTGGGTGCGCACGTGGTCGTCTAGGTGCAGACGACGCATGAACACCTTGCCGCATGTGTCGCACCTGTGTAGGCTGCGCCGCTCGTGGACCTGGGGGGGGGAAGGCAAGGGTCAGCTGCGACATGGACGGCACCGAGTGAACTGGTGACGGCGTGGCCGTATCGGCGGCATGTTGGCACTGCTCTGCCTCTGCCAATGCCAGCATGCGTCCCTGTGTGAAACAGAATCATTCAGTAAATCACGATTATCATGCAATATTAACATTCAGTGTGATAAATAACATACCTGTGTTACGAACAACGAAACGACACCGTTAATGAGCATGCAACAAGAATGGAACAGTAGGGCACGCAGCAATAGAATGTGCCGATCCAGTTCAACAACATAACATCTGTCCCGAGTCCGACCACGACGGACGGGTCGTCACAAGCATGGACCGTAGCAGAGAGATAGAGAATTCGTTCCAGCCGCAGGCAACGCACCTGTTTGATGTGCTCCCTCAGGTAGTACTTCTGGCTGAATATTTTGCTGCATATGTGGCACTGGTTGACCGTCTGCACAGTGTGGGACGCCTCGTGCTGCTGCAAACGAGCTGGCCGCTGGAACGTCTTACCGCAGTAGCGGCACAACAGGCGCCCCTCCCTCTGCCGGCGAGATGGCAAATCGTCACTGATTCCTACACCTGTTTGACGCAGCCCGGCAAATTGGGCCGGGAAATGTTCACCGGCGTTTCGTCTTTTATCACGTGGTTGATATTTTATGCCACCTATTTTTTTTATAAATTTGATCCGAACCCTTTGAATGGGTGGATTTGATTGAGGCTTTACGTCTCGCCGACCACCAGGACCATTTCGAGGCGGATACATTTCCTAGGAATCATGTGGGATGCGGTGGCGGCGTGGCAGGAGCCCGAACCGAAGGCCACCAGGTCCAGAGCCAAGCACCCTAACCACTATACGACCACTGCCCCTCTCTATGCCATTTAGCCCACGGCGGCTTCTTCTACCACATAATACATATAGCTCCGGTAGACCAGCAAAAGACATCTGCACCCTTCACTCCTCGGCCAGTCCGTCCCTAGCCACACCTTTTCACGCTTCTTGGCCGTCTTCTCGACGTGGATGTCGATGTCGAGTTCGTTGCAGAGTGCGCCGGCTTCGGTCGGCTGCAGCTTGACCTCGGTCGGCTGCGGCTTGACCTCAGCGGGCGGCGAGGTGGTGCGGCCGTCGGCCAGACTGCGGTAGTGTCCGGGCTCGTGCTGAGTGGCGGCGCGTTGCGACCGCCGCCGCTCCACCTTCACCTCGTCCGAGGAGGCGGCGGCGGCGGCGGCGGCGGCGGGGGCGCCAGCGGCCAGCGCGGCAGCGGGCTGCGGTCGCGCGCGCCGACGCGTCGCCTGCCCTGACTGATAGAGGCCGGCCGTGTGCCAGAAGAGCCGGCGCACGGCGTCGCGCGCCTGGCGCAGCTCCTCCTGCAGCTGGTCCAGCCGGTCGGCCAGGTCGTAGCAGTTGGAGCAGATCACGTGACTGTGCGCCTGCAGCGGGTCCAGCGCCGCCTCCACCGCCTGCTCCAGCGTCGCCAGCACTGTCGACCGGCTCGTCGTCGTGTACAGACTGCCGTCGAACAGTGAATACGGCTCGCTCGGCGGCGGCCCGTTACACACCAGGCAGTGGCTTTCGCCGGCCGGCCCCAGCTGCTGAACGCAAGGCTCGCCCGCGCTGTCGTCCACCGCCGAGAACGTCTCCACTGTACCGGCCTTGAGCACGCCCACGGGCACGACGCGCGCCATCGGTGCCATGACGGCGCCGCCGCCCTCGGGCAGCAGGAAGGTGCCTATTTCAGCACCCGGCGATAGCAGCAGGCTGTATGCGTCATGGTCGACTGGTAGCGCGCCATAGCCAACCTCACTGACTGACTGGGCGGCTGGTGATGTCATCTGATTGATGGATGATGTCATCTGACCAGCAGGTGATGTCATCTGCCCAGTTGACTCCATCTCTAGAAGCAGTAACAGACTTTTAGACATGGCTGCAATGATGATAACATAAATAGTCATCACAAATTGTTAAACCCTATGGTGGTGGGCATCAGTTCTAACAATAAAACAGTCACCATGCATTGTTAAACTCCATGTTGAAGGGTTTCTGTGCTAACTTACAAATATGGGACGGAACCCAATAACTCGGTATACACTGGTAGAATGGCGTAGAGCTGAAGACCAATGAAATGCTGTTAGATGATGTAAATAAAACTGCTTTTGCATGTGATTTTCTTGAATTGAAGCAGTGTCTCACTTAACTGTTTTTTTCTTTGTTTTGCATATCACTGATCTATAAGACCCTCTACCTTCCATGTGTCTCCAGATACATGATTTGGTGTGCTAAAGTGCAGTGTTCAAGCACATCAATGCACACTGCTGGCATTCAAACTAGACCAACCAGATGTCAAGCTAAGTTATCACAAGGCAGTGATGCCCGGCAAGTCCCTTCTCAATCAGTGTAGGACTTGATATGCAAATGAAGACTGACATGAGCTAAATGCTTTGAAAGATCCAGGCATGCTTTCAAGGCAGTTACTCAGTCATATTTGTGATGCCTCTCTTTCATATCACAACATGCCATGCATGCAGCGATAACTTTACAACAACAAAACATACAGAATCCACATTTTATAATCAATAAATTTTCACCTAAGCATTTACTCAGCATTGCAGTGCACCACATCTTGAGAACAGCTTTAGCAAGACACATCTAACTGCACTGCCCACATTCTGAAACCATGCACCTTTTGGTCAAAATTGCAACATGCAAATGCAAATTGCACACACATTGCACACAAATGCACACATTGCAAATTGATGATCATGCCCCTCTGCCAGCTGTGTGACTGGGTGACAGCATAGCCATAATGGTTATTGAATTCAGCCCAAACATCAGGATGCAACCATGCTGGGTGAGATGAGCAACATGCAAAAAGCCAAACTTTGAGCACTTCAAAATATGCAGCTCTGGCCAGATTACTACCATGGAATCTGCTTAAAATAAATGCTCAGAGTTTTGCATATAAATTGTTCTTTCTGGCAAAGGGTGGTCAATAATGGTGAGGACCAGTGAAGAGAATACAGATAGAAGATCACACAGTGACTCCTAAATGACTTATCAAAAACAAACCTGGACACACTATGGATATACTTTTACAAAATTACTCAGGGAGAAATACTAAACAGTGAAAAATAACCTCCATCATTACCAACATATTATGTCAATACATAGATTTCCTATATATTTGTCCCACTCTCTTCTCAAAGTGCAGAGGGGATGGGGGGCCATAATATTGGGCTTCAGGGCTGCATGCTGCACCTCTTTTTGCCCCCTGCTGCAGCTGCAGCAGGTCAGAGACCTGGTACTGATGTGGGTTCAGCTGTGCCTGCCAGGAATGCCAATTGTTCAGCACACACTCAATCCCTTACATGTGAGACATTTACAGTTGTATTTGAGTATGTCTGGCATGCTCTACAAGAAGTCATAGCATTTCTGATGCCACTTAATGCAGAGAACCTGGCACAGGCCCCTGGCTTCACAAAAAAAGGTTTGAGACTGAGCATTAAAATTATATGAAACCCTCCACCCAAAAATACTAACAAAGAAGTTTTTCCACATATTTGGCCCACTTACTGGCCAACTTACATCAGTTAACTGTTATTTGTTATTTGGCTGTTAATGTAGGTATTAACCTGCCATTTTCTGCACATAGGAATGACAGTTAAGTTGCAGCCCTGGCTGCTCTGACATTCATGCAGTGCTCCATGGTCAGGTGAACATAGGAGTGCTAAATGTGCAATGGTGATGACACTGGCCAGTACTGGAGCAGGGCATACAAGAATCCCCATCATAGAACTTGACTCACAACATGAAAAGCATGATTTTCCTGAAACAATATCCTTGAACTAATATATGGACTAGTTTTAAACAGAATCCTATGGCTGAAATTCATTATATGAAGCCTAAAAAGTGCTTTCTACTTGGGGTGCACATACCTACTGCAAGCAGCAGCCACAAGGAAGCAGGCAAATGAATGACATCATGGAATGGAGTAGGTATCCCTCCATTCAGACTTTATTGATTACTTGAATAATGGATTCCACATGTAGACATGTTACCCATGACAATGTGTAATGAATGTCAAGTGTTGGTGCCTATCATTAGACTACCATCCATATATGACATTATAATTTGAGTTGAAAGCTTTGGCCAATACTGATAATAGCTCATCTTGTAGATACCAGAAAGTACAAGCTGGAGAATGGTACAGGTGAAAACAAATATCCAAATGTGCAGCCCACAGGATGCAATTAATGCACCTGATGAGAAATTCACATGTGATCCCAAGTATCTAAAATAGTACTGGCAGGTATACAATCTTCATTCAAGTATTCTAAAATAGGTAAAAACTCTACTAAAACTAAAAACTAAAAAAAGTTGCGGATGGAACAGAACTAGATGAAACAGATGATTGGGCGCAGGAATATAACTCAAAAGAAACCGTAAGTTGATATCAAGTTAAAAAGGTTTTTTGTATCCCACCTTTCCAATAAACAATCCCTTATCGCTTGCTGGACCTGGTAACGTCCAGCGCACAGCACAACAGTACACCCCAAGGCCGCATACACCGAACAATCACACATGGCGACGTAAAAACACAAAGCGCTGAAACCGTCGCAGTGTGCAACTTTCAGTGCGTTCACGCTGGACACCTATACTTCGCTGCCATCCATGCAGCCGGGACCAATGTGCGCAACCGCGGTCAAGATTTTCAGACAAACACAAATCAAAGAAAGAATGTTGTTTCATAAACCGTTCTAGAACTGGCGACCTTAAATTGCCATCTTCACCTTTAAAGACTGTGTTGCTGTTGTGGATTAGGGCACAAAGCCCCCTGGGTACAGACGTCGATTTGTATACTTTTGAGAGGGCCACTGACCCCTCCCCCCAATGTCCAATCCGTCCTCCCCCCCCCCCCACCAACGGCGAGTTTAGCCGGATGCGTGTTGAAACGTCCAGAGTTCATAAGGTCCAGTGGTCAAAAAGTCCAGAATCGCAGCATCCAGAGTTCACAAGGTCCAGAAAACGTCCAAAACCCCTGGACAGGGGAGAACCATAACGTCCAGTGTTGATAAAGCCCAACGTCCGTGAGATTCACGGTTTGAGATACTGTCCCACTTCCTCGCAACCCTTCACCTAATGGCTCGGATATTGCCCGATAGAGGACTGCCGGAGCCGATTTCGCTCGCCTCAGCCGGCGAGTGACGTCATGCAGCACAGTGCTGCCCAGTCAAACCACTGTGCATGGATATCGACAAAGTTTTGTTTGAGCGCACAAACTTTGCCGCGTCGCCACGTCTGTGGCAGCAGGCGCACTAAAGAATCCCAAACTTTGACTCCTGGCTCGTGGCATCGGAAAAAGCTGGTTATTCGGTAGTAGATGCACGGTAATGGTGGAAAACACTCGTCGGGTAGCCTGCTGTTTGGTATTGTTATGGATTTGGCAATGGATAAGGTTCTCCGCGGTATTTGGTTTCGTTTTTTGATGTATGCGATGGTGATGTTTCTCATTTTTTAAAGGAATTCATGACTGATATGTAAGGCTGACTGATTCAATGTCTGCTCCAGGTAGGCGCGCATATAGATCTCCAGCCCCTGGCACACTAGCCTATATTGTTAGTGATTTTATTTGACTGGTTTCCCTCCCTCCTCCAATTGCAAAGTATTTCACACGCTCCTGCAAACGGCACTTATTCTGAATTATACATGTCTTTACTCTCAAAGAGAGGGGGTGGGTGCTGTCTCATCAGCTGAATCCGGATACTACTCCCTGGTGAGACACGTTCAGTGGCCCAGGCCAATCGTTTCCTCGATTAAGAACGTTTTAAACGGGCGTGGTCTACCAAAATGAGTTAGCTGGCTGAGCGATGAAAACACAACGAAGAGCTCCGTGATAATATGCCAACAAATTGGTTTGTCTCCGAATTTGGCTCACTTTCTCACATGTCTGCAGGCCGCAACCCAAGTTACGGCGGGTGTGAAGCCCCTACAACTGAATAGGGAACCGCACTCCCGGTTGCAAGTAAATAGAAAGTAAAAAAGCAAACGTTGTGTAATGAGACGCCAAGTATTTCACCAAAACTTCTCTGTATCTTTATCTCGCACCGCAGCAGCCCCTGACGGTTCACCTACCCTCTCTGCTCTCCCCACGGCGACTCCCAACAGCGGGGGCCGCGAGCCGGGGCCGTGCGAACTGCGGCGGCGACGCGCATCTGCCGCGCAGCCGGGGCCGGCCTGCGAACCTGACCACGTGCCGCGCCCCGCCCCAGCAGGGGCGCAGGACACAACGTACAACTGCATTACGAACATCCCACCCTGATCCTAATGATCAACAAGTACACAGTCGCACGGGCCTTCGCTCTCGTCCGCTCCGACGCGGCAACACTCGCCTGTCACCGTCGCCTGTCACACCGGCACCATCATCAGCAGCCACATCGGCACTACGTTGACTGCCATTGTATTCAACTGCCTGCCAAACGTCACACAAAACATTGTTGCGCTGTTGATTCATCATCTGAACAGCGGACAGTATCGGGGTGAGCTGGTTTGAAGTAGATAAGCTGAATGAATTGGGAGACTTGTGAGCTTGAATTCGTCATCTACTTCATCGATCTTGACACGCTTTTATCCTTTTACGCTTCAGAACCTCCCAAGTACAGAATTTGGGGTCCAGCACCATCAGTTAGGAGTTTATCGAGAGGGGTGCAGTTCGCCCCGCAGAGGGGCGATAGTGGCATGGTGGTTAGTGGTTATGGTGCTCATCCCTGGACTTTTCTATCCTGGGATGGAGTCTTGGCCACACCACTACCGCATCCCACGTACCTTATGCCTAATAAATGCGTAATAGAGGCGTAATAGGGCCTCAACATAGCCATAGCAGCCAATGAGACGTAAAGCCCCAATCGGTATTACAGGCCGTCCCAACAAACAAACCGCCACCCGACAAATTTGCAGACAATGCTTCCGCTCAATCACTGTATATATGTGGGAATAATAATGTGCAACCGGTTGGAGGCGGAGCTCGGACACATAGGCCAGCCCAAAGGCTGCCCAGCTCGACGGTCCGGCCGGCAGCCACGCCCGCAGCGGGCCGACGGACGAGGCAGCCTGGCCGCCAAAAAAGAAGGCACTCACGCGCGCGCCGTCCCTCGCCCAAGAACCGAACCGCGCCACATGCGCGCGAGGCCTGCTTGTGGGGCAGCCCCTCCGCGGCCGAAACTGCTGCGAGCTCAGCCGGGCACGCCGCCATCTTCACACCAGAGCCCGAGGCCACTGACTCGGTTTCGCTCGGTTTGCCGCGGTTCACATCTCGGCGGACCGGACATCCGGACGTGCCGGGCATCTCGAGATCTCACTCGTGCTGGACCGGAGCCCCCCCCCCCCCCCTCCTCCTCCTTGACAGGCGCCTTAATGGAAGAGCCTTATGTCAGTCGGGAACCAGCACCGCACAGGGTCCCTCTGCCTGTTTTCTCTAGGGCCCAAATGCGTCGAACCGGGATCCCTGTGCTATTTAGTAAACCTGCTACTTTTGGGACATTTTTGAAACGGTGAGTGGTCCCGCGTTCATCCAGGGCCAACCATACCGGTCAGAGGGCATTCGGCGTCAGAGAGGGGACCAATGTAAAATGTGTAGTAAAAGTAACCGATTGCCAATCTGAAAGGGGACGGAAAGGTCATTTAGCCCCAATCAAGAAATGCATGGGGTCTTAAGGCTTGGCTGAAAACTCTATTGGGATGTGGTTTTTGAAAGGGGGGGGGGAGGTGGACGGTGAGAGAGGGTCGAGGGGTCCAGGAACCCCTTGGGAGGAGCTCTTTTCGGAACCGTGAAGTCTAAAAAATGACCATACTAAATGAGAAGAGCAAAAATATTGCCAAATAAAAATTCTGCCAACACCGTAGCAGCGTCTAGCAGCCCAGGAAGCCCTCAATCGTAAACTCGTGGACCCCTCTGGCCGCTCATTCGGGACATACGGTTAAGTCATGCATCGGATTTCGCGCCAGAGAGTGGTCCAGAATCGACCAAGACAGAGGGCCATTGTAGATTAAGTCGATCGGATTTGTTATCGAAAGTTAGATTCAGTGCGTGTCCCCGTTCACTAACGACAGTCTCATGGCAGGGCAATGCGAATATACTTTCAGAAATACTTAAATCTCAAAGACACTGCCCCGCTAAATGCTCACATGCATCATATAGGTTTTCGTGATTGACGATGACAAGTTATTTAGATGACTCTTTCGGTTAAAATGACAGCATATCCTGCAGTTTTCTGTTTCTTGTGAAGATTGTCAAGCCTCGGGAATATCTGGCCGAATTATGGCCAGGGTGACGTAATGGGAGAACTTTGGCACCCGCAGGTGAGAGTGCAAAAGTGTGGATTCACGTAATGTCACGCTCAGAAAATATGTGGCTGATAGTAATATCCCTTCTGCATATGCGTTGTACGTATGTTTAAGTAACTATGCTCGCTGCATCTCTTATCCATCGCCCTGATCCGCCGTTTTGCATACCTCGGACTGATGGGGGGAGAGGGGGGTTGATGCGACCCTCCCCCGGCGTTTCCAAGCTTGATAGAGCTTGCCGAGGACAGCAGTATACTGTTCTGAACACGATCTCACGATTGGTACTAGTTGTTATGTTGTTGGCAGGTCTAAGGTCGAATGTTACAGAAAACCGCACTTTGTAGCTTTTGTTTTATGTTTACGAGAACAAGCCTTGTACTTACACGAACCTTAAAGTGGCGTGCGTCTTGTTCAATTCTGAGTGCATTCTGTGGCTCAATTCTCTTGCCGCCCGCCGCCTGAGCCCGCCATAGATCGCCGTCGAGTGCTCATCACAAACTGCCTGCTGCTTCGAAACCAGAAAATCTAGGAGCACGTTTTAGTGTCAAAACACGTGCCATAATCACCGCCTATCATGGCGAGGATCCGCCGCCCATCGCCTATCAAACGTTATGTTGTTGCTGCTTTGGGTATCGGCAACGATTTTTCGTGAAACGATATTCCTCATTTTGCTTATAACTGAAGCCATAGCGGGCAAAACAGGAAAAAACAATGCTTGCTTCCTTCCATAATTGCTTGCTCCTAGTTTGACCTCACGCTGACCCCGTCCCAAAAAACCAAGTCTCTCGCAACAAGTTGTGCTCTGTCCATGGGCTGGCGCCGAAAGGTTTAGATGTTCGCGAAACTTTCCCCGTCCGAACAACGAGAGCATCTCATTGACGCGCCATACTGTTGACACGCGTTTGGTGACGAGCAGGTTGGCGTTAATGAGAATGGCGCGAACGAGCAGATGATCAACCAAGGCAACCGATCGCTGTTATCGCGTAAGACGAACTGCAATGAACGCATAAGACCGAAGGAAATATGACGAAGATACGGGTATGCAATTTGAATATGATGATAATCGCTTTCAATATGTTCAGCTCCTTTCATCGTTTCGCGAAGTCTTTGATCATGGATGTAAAAGCACACGGTGCGCTTACGGCAAGCCCAGTGTGTGGGGCATGCTACAAGTGCTCTTGAAACGGGAGATGCAAAAGTGTAGGCGTTAGGCGACAAATAACCGATCGCATATAGCAACACTGAGACAAATGTCATCATGTTTTTGTTG